GATCCATGCATGTGGCTCACGATCCGTCCCATACTTTATGGGTAGTGTCAGACCCACCACATCCCATCTCGGGCCCTGGTACCAGTTTTAAGGTCCGGGCCCCAAGCACGGAGGGGGGCGGGTCCGAGGGGCATCCCCCGAGAAATTTTAGAATTTATACGACTAATCGGACGCATTTTGAAGCTTGCATAAAGAATTTTTCCATCAATTTCTGCTGAATAATTATGTTTTTTTTTCTACTTTCAGCACAAAATACTCGCGAATTGTTGCATTCAAAACATCTGGAAAATTTTTATTATTTTTTTTTTTTGGGAGGGGGACATATGATACTATTTTCAGTTCTAAGAGGGCCAGGCCCCCCTGGACTTCCCCTTCGTTTGTCTATGGCAAGGGAGTTGAGCCATGAGCCCTTGAAGTCAAGGATGCCCAGACTGGAGACTCTTAGCATCTGACGACGGAAGAAAATGAAACGCAGTTACTAAAAATATCCTTCTGTACTGAAAATCTTGAAAATAGATAGAAATTTTCCAGGAACTATACTTCTTTGAAAATTTAAGAAGATTTCTACGGTGCCCCAGCGTGTTTCTGAAAATCTATTCACCTTTTGCGAAATTTTTAGGGTAAATTTTTCACTTTTTCTTACGAAACAAGGGTTGCATGTGAATTCGTAGTGGTTTTTCACGGGTAACATGGGCCCCCTCCGGGGCCCGGGCCCCGGTACCAGGGACCCAGTATCCCCCCCTTGAGGCGGGCCTGCCTTCATGCACGCTGGGCTTGTCGATTTCCTTTGACATTTTTGCAGTGGAGAATGCATAGCTGAAGTGCGCTACAGCTAGAATTGTGTTTAGCAAATGGGTGCTTTTTCTGCGAGGATTAAAAATAAACGAGTGGTACGGGATATAACAAAAGAATATGAACTATGCAAAACGATTATTCCGATAACGGAACTTGGCTGTTTTGAAAACGCCTTCAAATGCGGCGTGATACCTCACGCATTCCGGAGAGTTAAAATAGTTGTATCACTGCGCCGTAAGAATGTGCCGGAAGATTTAAATGGAAATAGCCTCCATGCACGCTGGCCTTTTTGATTTCCGTTGACATTTTTGCAGCGGTGAATGCATAGCAAAAGTGAGCTCCAGCTAGAATTGTATTTAGCAAATGGGTGGTTTTTATAGGAGGATCATAAGGAAACAGGTGGTTAGAAATTGAAAAAAAATAATATGAACTATGCAAAACGATTATTCCGATAACGGAACTTGGCTTTTTTGAAAACACCTTCAAATGCGGCGTGATACCCCACGCATTCCGGAGAGTTCAAATAGTTGTATCCATTGCGCCTTAGAAATGCGACGGAAGATTTCAATTGAAATAGCGTTCATGCACGCTGGCCATTTCGATTTCCGTTAACATGTTTGCAGTCATGAATGCGCTTACGTGCGCTTCAGCTAGAATTGTATTTAGCAAATGGGTGGTTTTTCTACGTGGATTGAAAATAAAAAAGTGGCACGGAATATAACAAAAGAATATGAACTATGCAAAACGATAATCCTTGTATCGGAACTTGGCTATTTGAAAACGCCTTCAAATGCGGCGTGATACCTCACGCATCCGGAGAGTTCAAATAGTTGTATCACTGCGCCATAAGAATGTGACGGAAGATTTAAATGGAAATAGCCTCCATGCACGCTGGGCTTGTCGATTTCCTCTGAAATTTTTGCAGTGGTGAATGCATAGCTGAAGTGTACTCCAGCTAGAATTGTATCATTTGTAAGAAATAAACCAAAAAATTATGAAAGAACAAACATAAATGTGGTTTAATTATTTTAACTTCCGTCGTTGCGCCGTGCCGCGCTGATCGCACTGTGTTTGGCGCAATGCGTGAAGTATTCCTGCAGTCTTGTAGGCGCTATGCGTTTCACGCCAACCGCTCCTGACCACGTGACCGCACTGTGTTTGGCGCAATGGGTGAAGTATTCATGCAATCTTGTAGGCGCTAATATGTGTTTCATGCTGACCGCCGCGTCGAGGGCTTGTCCTCTCTTTCTCAAGTCCTCGTCATCATTCCTTTCTGCGCTGACAATGAGCACCAGGCAAAATTGTGTTTTTAGTTCCTCTCTGAACTCGACTAATTAAAGATGCCTGTCTCTTGTATCACCGAAAAACGACAAAATTAGAAAATACTATACTCTCAGGAAAAAGAGTTTAGTTTCCTTTTCTTAATGATAATTTTTTTTCTGGATCCATTTTTTTTACCTACATTTGAAAAAAATTGCAAAATATGCCACCCCCTAAATTTGCCGCCATGGGCCGCGGCCCATGTGGCCATCCCCTTAATCCGGCCCTGCCCCTTATTTTCTTCTAAAATACACCGCTTCTTATGGGGAAATCGGGTTCTTCAGTAATTTGGAGCAAGCAGGCCATGCGCCATTGCAATATTACGTAACTTTTCGCGTAGAATCCATATCTGAAGTCAAAATATACCCTTGCTTTTTGAAATTTGGGACTTATGGCCCTCTAAAGCCCCAACATTTTTGGGGATCGTGGCCCTCAAAATTTTGGAGCAACAGAGGTCATAAGGCACATCAACCAAAAGGTATTGACCTCTCCTCTCAGGAGAATTTTTTCAAATTCTCCTGAGAGTTAGATTTTGAAATTTGAATAATTTGGCCGCTTACAGCATCGAATTGAAAATTGCACCAAAAACTTGAGGCATGAATGCTTGAGGGTATTTTGCATATTTTGGCATTAATCGGCGGGTACCGATTAATCGATTGATCGGTTAGTAATCGCAGAGTAATCGATAGTCGGAACATCCCTATAAGTTAGGTTAGTTTAGAGTTTTTTTCGNGTTTAATTTGGTTTGAATTTAAAAGATTCCTGCTTGGCCCGAAAGGCGAGGGTTGACAAAAATCCTGCGGCGCGTGGGGAGTGCAGTGAGTCTGCAGAAAGGAAACATCGATGCTCCCGATTGCGCACCAGACAGTTTGCGATGGAAATTCGGCAGGATTTTTGTCATCCCTGCCTTCCGAGCTCAAGGAAGGAATCTCTGCTGAACAGTCGACTCGTTTTTTTCGACCCACCCATCCTTCCTTTGTCTTCGTCACGACTATAATTCAATAAAAATTCTAATTATGTCTATAATAACGTCATTTAAACCGTACTTAGAGTGTTTTTTCCTTATCACTTCTCCCTAAATCAATTTTGAGCGTGATTCATACTGTGATACTTGCCTGCAGGTGAGTGTTCTTTTTCAATATCAGGTACCTAAGATCTTTGTTTATCAGCTGTACTTATTACTTTCTATGAGTGCAAAACCCTAAACCCCTTACTTATCAAAAATAATTGCATTTTTAAAAAGCGAGGCGTACCCTCAGACACTTCTCCCTTTGGTGGCTACTTATTTTGATCAATGTACATGGTTCAGGAAGTGGGAATAATTAAGTGTTACACTGGTAACAATATCTGCTCCTTAGGTATGTAACACCCTGTTTTTTCTGGTTGAAAAGAAAGCGATACGACAGCTGAAGTGCGGTCAGATAACCGATACTGGTCAAGATTTTGCTTTGTCGATGTACCTAGGTAATTAATTATTGGACTCACGAAATCAATTAAGATCTTCAGTTTTACTCATTAGGAGCAAAGTAAGACACAGTCGAACTAGCGAGCTAATTTCACCAAACTTTCTCTTATCGGATAGTTGTAATACCTATGCTACTACTAAAGTGAGCATTGTGTAAGTTGTACACCAATATTTCTTGGTATTCTGTGCATTGTCATTTCATTCAAATCTGGAAACTCTATGTTCTGTCACAAGCGCACATAGGGAGAGGGTTGGGGAAGAATAAACCTCTCTTAAGTTATTTTTGTTCAATTAACTTTCCTTTGTGTTTCAGAATGTTAAATTCATGAAATGGACATGAATGAATATGTCAACTTTGATCTGGGTACAGCCTACCCAAGTCTATTCTCATCATCATCAGCTGACTACAAACCACCAGTGAAACTAACCAAAGAAGAAGCTTTATTGAGGATTCGAGAACTCTTTAAAACTCGACCAGATATCGGTATGCAAGATGTAATCATACTTAGATAAAATTCCCTTCACTAATTTATTTTCCAAATATTTTACTAGCTGTTCTCTGTAAGTAGAACTGTGACATAGGGATTCCAGCATTCATTTTTTTAAGTCTTGTTTGTTTCTACGTAGGCAGTACACATACGTTTCAGAGTGCGACATTTTTATCCAGGCTAGAAACGAGTATATTTTCTGCCACCACAAGCAGATTGAGCCAGAATAAATTTAGACCAAGTTTGGACTTAGCATTAGAATGTACATTGCGGGAGTTTACATGTAGGGACACCTTGCTAATGTACGAAGCCATTTATAATCACATGGGCAAACCAAAATTTTGAATCAGTCGCAGGTCCAAGGATCACAGGAGACAAGAAAAATTTCCTCAGACTGCACGGATCTAAAAGCAGTAAAACTTAACTGTCTGAGGAACTTAAAGATCGCATGTAGCGTCTATTACCTAAAACTTCTCATCCCTGAATTCTAGGTCCAAAGTCAGGTAACTTAACAGTCGAAGGGGGTTCCGGAAATAGGGCTCATGGACATGGGCGAGTTCTTATACTTTTTTTTTTTTTTTTTTTGAACTTGCTACTTGCGTAGTGCGTTAAGCATTACGCTGAGAGAGTGCAAAATGAAACGGATTCCCCTTATACTTACCTCTGAACTGGCTTATCCGAATAAGCAGATAGCCATGATCGCAGCTGCACTGCTGTATGTTCAGATAGCCACGGCCTGGAGAAACGAACACGCCTAGACTATTTATTATTGGCCCTTCCTGTGGAACCCTCCTCAATTTTGTTCTGAGTTTTTGGTTCTTAGTATTGATCACTAAGCAATCTAATAGTACATGGTAACTCGTTTTCCTAAAAATATACTTCTATATCATATGATGATTTTGTTCAAACTGGAAAGTGAGTTGTACATTTATGGGCCGCTCAAGGAAAATGATTCCTGCATTCTCAACCTAGATTTTTTAGTAGGTCCATCGAGGCATTTGTCGAAAAATTCCCATCACTGCAGTGCCAAGGATAAACACTGCATGAGCTATCGAATGTTGCCATGTATCCTCCAGAATTTTCTTTTAAGAAGGTCATAAATTTTCCGACACTGTAGATCAAATTACAAACAAAATTCTTTGAAAACTGGGAAGAAAAATATTATTAAATTTTCCTTAAAATTTGTGATTTGTTGAAGGCAATTGGCAACGTTTCTAGGACCGTATGGCGTTTTTCCTCAGCAAAGTAGTGCATGTGTATGCGCACCCACTTAATTGAAAAATATATTCATTTCAGATTTCAGTGAAGTAAGCGATGGTTCCCTATGTAAATTCATCCATGCAAGAAAGTTCAACGTTGATGCAAGTTTTCAACTTTTAGTCAATTATCTGTCGTACAAGAAGCAGCATCCTGCTTTGTTAGATGTCGATATCAGAGATCCGTACATACTCACAGCCATCAAAGATGGGCTACCTGGTGTCCTAGAGGAAAGAGACAGGTATTTATTTTTTAATCCAATTCAAGCTTATCATTTCAGGATAGTTGAGGATGCAACGTCACAGCTATTCAGATAAGGCTATCAGTAAAATTGCTCTCATACCAATGTGCTTTCCAGTGTTGCCATTTGAAAATTTCAAAACAACCTATACTCAGGCTCAGAATTACACATTTGGGTCTCCATTAATTGTTCTGACAACCTTTGTCTGATATAACAAAAAATCACCAAAGAAGGGGTCTAAATTGAACAAAAAGTGTGCATATTGCACATGACACTGATAATGAGCTCTCAATTATACAGAAATATGTAATTATGCACGTAGCTACAACACTGTGCCCTCCTCAAACTAAGTCCTCAGTACGCAGAGTTTGCAACCTCACTAGAAACTTTTAATAGACAGTGTTCTGCACAGGAGGAGCAAGTGGTATCTGCTATTGCCAGTTTCGTAGGACTTTTAATTTCAAGGGAGCATTTGTGCAAATTTTTTTAACTTCTTGGAAAATTTTCTCCAGGGCATGAAACGAATTCCGTAAAACTCTCCAAAAAATCTGCATAACTGGTCTCCTGTAGAAAAAAATTAATTTTCTGATGAAAGATAAATATCATTGTCTTGTAGCTCCCTTTATCAAAAAGCTCCGTAAATAGTTATGACTTACTTTTTGAGATTTAACCTGCTACTCACTAACCTGGACATTTTTTTGAGCTGAGCGCGAACAGAACAATTAAGAATATTGAAATCTTTATTAGGTTTACTAGCATCACAAGTAAATAATAGATTGCACACTTTGGATTCAGTTTCTCTCTCTATCTTTGGCATCATAGGTAAAAACTGATCCGAATTTCAAATTATTAGAACTCGCATCAAAACGCTAAAAAAACCATTGTCTACAAGCAGCTTCATTTTTAATGGACAATAATAATTAACAGCACAAGAAACTAAGGACAATTTTCCTACGTGGAAGACAGATAACTGACAAAGTGACTTTCATACAGTCCAGTGGCAATTAGTGTTTCAGATAAAGCCAACAGATAAAGCCAGTCATGATAAACCAGAAGAGGTAAAGATAAGGTATTATCTTGGGTGTGTCACCGTCAAGTGTCATTTACTGTCACATTTCTCCATTTGGCCACATTTCCTGCTCCTGTGAAGTTTTTAAATGAATTTTTCTTTTTTATATGTACAGAAAAGGAAGAAAAGTCCTCGTTTACTTTGCAAGCAGATGGAACCCCAACAAACTACCATTGGAAGTATTGTTCAAAGCGTTAATTTTCACACTGGATCTTTTACTAGAGGATATCCAAAATCAGATAAATGGTCTTGTATTCCTTATTGATTGGACTAACTTTTCATTCCGCACGGCATCAAATCTAAATCCAAGAATCCTCAAATCAATGATTGAAGGACTCCAGGACTGTTATCCTGCCAGATTCAAAGGAATTCATTTTGTTGGACAGCCATGGTACGTGGAAGCTGCTGTAGCAGTTGTGAAGCCATTCCTAAAGGAGAAAGCTAGAAACAAGGTAAGATCAGTAATTATTAAATGGAAGAAAATTGTTTAGAACAAAAAAGGGATAAGGCTAAGAACTCAATTCAGCATGTGATTGCATGATCAGGATTGGAGGTGGCAAAATAATACATTTATGGTAAAATGAAGAGATCCATAATCTAGATTAAGTGCCCCAAAATTTACTTTCACGCTTGACTTTTTTCCAAGGTAAACTAGCCAACACTTATACACTCAATTTTCAGAAAATACGTTTAGGTAGACAAAAAATAATAAATAAATAAATTTCAATTCCTGTGATTATATTTTCAAATGAGTGTCTTTCATTAAGCCGGATCCATTAACTAAGAAAAGTCAGATTATATAAAAAATGTTAATTGAATGATGAAATAAACATCATCTCACTTATTGTTAGACCATCATCCCATCATCAAAATGTAATTTTTGTACTTTTAATATCCTCTTGTAAATATGTAGGTATCTCTGCTGTCGTCAAGGCTCTCAAAAAGTGTGGAAAATAACTCTTATGGCAACAGTAGCCTCTTTTTAATTTATTTTCTGAAGAAACAGATGATTTTCCTCAGTCAAAAATCATGACTGAGAGGAAAGCTAATCAATGAGCATAGGTTTATTAAATGGATCGCATTTATCATAAAGTATCCAGTGCGATTGCGGTGTATTCAAAATCATGCAACTTCCTCTTTTCTTTTAAAAATACTTAATTATTGTACATTATTTTAAAATTACACAATTATTTTTCTTTAAATTTTAACAATCTGGAATGGAGACGGTCTTGCAGTTTATAACTAAAGTCGCTACAAACTACAAGAGCCGCATCCATTCACATCCAAATATTGAGGCAATTCAACTTCTAGATGACTCGAACCAGATCAGACGCCTCAATAGGGTTAAACCAAGGGAATTGGCCAGCCCCCAGGTCCAACCCAATAGCCATATTATATACTTTATTTGTTTATTTATACCTTTTTCATGTGCAAATTTCTCGGTAACCTGTATAATCATCTTTACTAAGTACTTAATAACAAAGTGTATTATTCTCACGCAAGAAGTTTACAATAAAATAACATATAAAAAAATTGATTTGGTGGAAAGAAAAAACTATTTGCTTTTTTGGGAGATTCCTTGGATAATTATGAAGAAGCAACATTTTTACAACACTGTAATCAGGCTGGTTCTTTGTTGCTAAATGCGATCCAAATGTTACCTTTCTTGTTTTGTAACTTAGCTTATTTTCCAACCTTGCGTAGATATTCATCCATGGGAACAATGTGGGCACCATGCACGAGTATCTTCCTTGCGACATTCTACCAACAGAATTTGGCGGAGACAAGCCCCCCTTCAACTCATCAGCATTGGTTAATGAATTGTTACAGCGGATGGGGTGAGGAGTGCTAATTTCATGTAACTTGACTCCAACATTCTTGAAGCAGGTAATATGGACGCTTTTCTCATCAGCTCTTGTCAGTATGAACAAGAATATTTTTATCCAAGTTTGCACAATTGACTATTTTTTTATTTACTAATAGGACTAAGAGTAATGACATTGCTCTTAGTTTTGAACCTCACAAAGAAAGCTTTTGCACCTAATCAATTAACTTACCGTGATATTTATTCCTATATAAAATGGCTGAAAACAAGATTTTGATATGTAGAACGTAATTGTTTTTTACCAATGTTATTTTGTAAGTGAAGCATACATATTATGGATTATTTTTACGAAGTACCTGTAGTTAGTAGAATGAGATAAACAGACCAAAGCTTCCTCATGGAATCTTGATTGACAATATGAAACAATGTAATGCTGATTCGCTGTAATCAACAACACAGCACAGCAGTGGGCTTGCTGGTTCCTCGCCAATTAATTTTTTTTTTTCTTAAAGTGCAGACACGCACTTATGAGGAGTTTGTCAGGTTTTGACAAACAACTGGAAAGATAATTAGTCTTCTAATGGTGATTTGTTTGGGGTTTTTGGCATGGACAAACTGGTGTGTAATATATGACAATACTTAAATTAAAAAAAAATCAGCAGATTTAAACTTCCCAGCCAAATTTTTGTCTTAATCGATACGGTGTATCACATGCCAAATCAACCACGACAAGAATCTAGGAGGAATCACCCTAAATTTAATTTTTTTTTTAAGTGCCTTCTTTGTCAGCTGTTCTTTAATTTTTACTATTTAAAAGAAGAATTCCAGAAAGGGGGATTAAGAGAAATAATGAATACTTCAATGAGGGTGCTAATCTGATGTCCAATTATTTCAAACTCTCTCTGTACCCACATATTGAGAAATAACCCTTGACAATATTGCAGCATAAATAATGAGAACTCGGCATTTCTTTAATACTGTCATTGAACTAGTCTCTTTTTTTCAAATCATGAATACCTAAGATAGTGTTTCCAAATTTGTTAAAAAAAAAAAAAATGAAGGTGTTTGTTTTGAGAATTAGGACCTTCAATCAGAAATTCAAAATATTGAAAAGTATTTTTTCAAAAGTCAAACTAATCGAAACAAACTATTCAAGTTGAATTGTTATGAATTCAGCGGTTCCTCAACAGTTTTAGCATGGAGATATGTGTTACACTCATCTTGTCTTTTTGATTGGATCTCCAATGTAACTATATTGAAGATTATTTACTGAACGTGTGTGAACTCATAGACTGTTAGTGTCGCACAAAAGGACACTTTTTCGGCTTAGAAGAAGTCTTTGACACAAAAAGTGTGCTAACTAATACATGATCTAGAAAAACTAATTATGGATCTAATTTCCACAGTTTTGTACCGTGCAGATCTAATTTTTACGGTGTTCCCTCTAGGTAAAAGGTATGCGCATGTTAAAGCGAGTTCCTCTCTTTTATGCCTCTTATATTAGTGCAATGAGGAGGATAACATCAACCAACGAATGTGACCATCTATGGGTAAAGGAATCTTGTTCCCAAATATGTCAAGAATGAGGTTTAAGCAAAATAATTGCATTACCAATCGCAGCAAAAGCTCGATTTTTAATAATTACTGAAAGAGCTCATTATTTGATTTGAGGACACCTCTTCTTTTTTTTGCACATGCTTTGGTACACCTCGATTTTTGGCACAAACATACTTTTTGCCCTAGGGGAACACTTGAAACTTTCCTTTCAAATAGAATCTCTTTTCAATTCATACCTGCATTTATTTTCTTATCATAGCTTTTGTGCTAATATGATTTTTATTATTTAAAGTATCTGTGATATAATCTTGACAAAACACTAAAATACCTCCCTGGGGATGTATCAATGGTTGTAATAAACTAATCTGAGTGTATAACTACAAAGTAACTAAAGATTTGAGGAAGACAATGCATATTAGACTGTCTAGATCAAAATTTGATGTCGAGCCTTATTTTTTAACAAGCCAAAGGGTGCAGCCCATGAGACTTGTCAAAAAAAATCTTGGATGGAGGACTAATTGATTACTTAAATTTTTATAAATAACAATTCTGAATTTCTTCTTTAATAGTACATCGGTTTTTTAGCACTTACAAACAACAAAACTTGAGTCGGTTTCCCGGGATTGATGGAAAGTTGGAACTGATTTTTCCGCTGAAACTGATTTTAGCTAAAGAATGCATTGTCTTCCTTTATTTGTAAGTTTACCAATGAGGCAAAGATTTTTGTCTGACGATTCTTAAACGATGCTGACTGACTTGTGGTCAAAGCACCGAATTGATACCCATTTTATATTAATTTTTATACTGATGGAAACAGGGCTTGGTATTTTTTGTCTCAAATTTTTTTTAAAATAAGTGCACAACACTATGAATGTAATTTTTTACTGTTGAATGTTTTTTTGTGAAATTAGTCTATCTTTATTATTAAAAGTCAATTTTTAAAAATGATTCATTCTATTCTTTAATAAAAATTAATTCCTTTTTCACCCAAGTAAAATTTAACAGAAGCTTTGTGCATTGAAAGCATCTCTTATTATATGCATACTTGTAATTCACAAGAGTTTGAACTATATGCATGGTCGGAACTAGGGGCTGTTTGTGGGGGCAGAAGGATACCTTATCAAGGAATATCCAGGGGACACAAAAACACCCCGTAAAGGGGAATTTTCGGGAATCCCACAGGTTCCAAGGAGAGCTCGAAGGATTTCCATAGCCTCAAAGGCAGATCCTGCAGGGGCCTTTCCCAGAAAATTTTGAAAAATTTAGTTGTCTTAAGAGCACTTTTGAGATCTTCTTAACAGCAAATTGACCGAATTAAAATTTCAAAGGTGAAAGATGTGTTCAAACTTATTTAGCAAAATCTCTCGCTTCTCTTGATGTGACTGTGAGTAATCACTCTCAGCAGTTGCGGATGTCCTTTCCGCACTGTGGGGTTTCTCTCTCGCGCTTGTGGGTGTGTCATGGGGAAAATTGGGATCATTTTTTACCTTTACTATTGAACTTCCAGAGCTTGTTTTCGATTTTATATATTCTAGACACATGCAGTTAAAATGTTAAAATTGATGAGTCTTGGAGATGGATGCAGCTGTTATTATTACGATAGTTGTTGCTTTTGGAGCCATATTTTAGCAGTGCGCCATGGTGGTTTATTTTAGAACTAGCGCTGAAAATTCACCCTAAAGAGCATGAATTAAGGTCAGATGAAGAATATTAACGTCTTCAAACAAGCAGATAAAAATGTGTGTAAAAAATATTTTAATACATTATAATTTACATTCACTAATCACCAACTTTAGAAGCACACAATGATAAAAAAAAGTTCTTGGAATCTTGGAGTAAAGTAAAACGGTATGTATTAACAATTACATCAGTCTTGGGATTCAAACAAATAATAGTAAATTGTAACCCATTCCAGGCTCAGAGGGGAAATTTTTACAAGTTTCTCTGGCTTAATAATACCTGAATGACAGCTAAAACTAACCTATGATCAAACATCAACTGGACGTATTTCTACCAAACAGAACTATATGTATTAGGACATGAGACCCATAAGAATATTTAATAACAGGGCTCATGTCATAATGCACCTAGTTCCGTTTGGCAGAAATACGTCCAACTTGAAGAATTTCTTAGTATGTTCCATTTCCATTTCAAACACCGAGAAGATAATTTTTCAAATCAAACTTTATATTCCTGAAACACACAAAGAGAATATCAATTAATTGAAGGAGGAAAGTCTAATAAAGTAGGAGGCCTGAATAGATGATTGATTACACTCAAGATGCAATGCGTCAAAGATAATTTTTTTCCTTTCCTTTTTTATAGAACTTACGAATCTTATGAGGAGGACCCATATTCGGGTTTCGTGCTGCATCATCTGATTTCTTCTGATTTATTTTCTTTTCGCTTTTACAGCTATTATTAGCTTATATATTCTACCTACATCAAACTAAACTCTTGAGGGCTGTCAAAAGGTTATGCCACTTTTGGAGGGGGTAGAGTGTTATAACTCATGTTACAAAGGGAGAAAGAGGGCTCAGCACTGCCAGATACCACACTTACCAAGGTTTTTCCCTTTTTTTTCATCAACTTAAGACCAATTTGAGAGTCGATCATGCTATGCTCCGTGTTGCAGTATAAAAAAATGACTACTTCATCAGTGCATTTCATTTTAGAGAATTAAAGTAGCATGTCAAATCACCTTATTTGTAGATGTTTTCTCACTACTAATGTTTTTTTATCTCTTTGCATTTTTTTCTCAGGAACTGTCAAACTTTCTGACAAACAAGGTGGTAAAATAGTCCTGGGTTCACACTATTTTGCAGAGAAAGCAAGGCCAAAAATTTTAATTAGAATTCAAATTTCAATTTGACTCGGACTTTGTTTTTTGAATTTTTTGGCCTCGCTTTCCCCATAGAACAGCGTGAACAAATCATTATTTCGCAACCCTGTTACATACAGCTCAGGCCACACTTTTTCCACCCCTTTATTTTTCTTCTACTTGCTTGATAACAAATTAGTCACATAGGTTGGGATTTTCTTAATTTTCCCTACTTCTGAGGGGGGAGGGATGAAGGGTAGCATGACATAATTTTTTAGGAAGCTTCCAGACCTGCGTGACAGGGGTAAAATGGGATGGAGGAAAAAAGTCGAAAAATTCAATCGTTAACAAGACATAATTTGTAGACTTATCCTGAGAAAACTCTTAAAATCTCAAAATGGTGGAATTGCCTGTATATCCTTCATTTTCTCTGGGGTTGATAATTATCCATTACAACATCTCAGGCATCAAAAGAAAATACATTTGATTACCGTTCTTCTTTACTGCACTCATGATGAAATACTTTGAAATTAAGTGAAGAAAAAAAATATCATAATCAGACTCACTTTCCAACATCTTCCACACAACTAAAAGGCGCTGTGGTTTTGAATTTGGGCTCATCAAGGTTGTCGCTATTAATGTGCATCATCAGCCTCAGTTCAATTAAAGATGCAATCTGGGAGAAAATCAAATAAATGAGGTGAATTAAAACTGGTAAAAATGAGTGAAAAACTAGATTAATAGTTCTGCCCAGTCATAACAGGGTGACAGCAAAATAAAATCTAAATCCTGTCTACGCACCATTTGATTCTTCCTGCAACTTTGATCTTGAGAAAAATTATGAAATGTTTTATCAAAATAAATAATCCATAATTTATTATGAATCGAAAGGATAAGGGTGAATCTGCATACTTCAGTTTAACATGTTGTCGTGGTATTGATGTATCATCGTAAATCACCGATTTTTCTGCTGTTGCATGAAAAAAATTGGATACACAGGAAGTTGATACATGCTGGGAGAGAATCTTCTCAAATTTTGGAGTAAAATTACCCGAACATTTGGATGGAAGTATAGCAGATAAAAATTCTGCTGTTCAATCGACAACATCAATCCATTAAATTATTTCTGTCATACTTTCCACTTCAATGAACCCTCAAGATGAACATTCAATTTTGATGGATTTTATTTTTTGAAAATAGTTAAGGTGAAAATGTACATAGAAAAAGTATCTAGATTCATTTAAAAAAGTAAAAATGAGAGATCAAACTTATGAATTAAGCTCATTAATGACCACATATTTTAATAATATTTAAAACTGAAAACTCAAGAAAAGGTCAGTGGGGAAATCATTTGGATCTTCTATACATGGGAGAGGGAATAGGTTAACTTTTCCTTATTTGCTTAAGCGACCCTGTTCGAAAAAATTCCGAACTACAAATAATTTCTAAAGTAAAAAATGGTACACAAGAGATTAGAACTCTAATCATGAGGCAATTAGAAATAAAGTCGAAAAAAAAATAAAAAATGAACTCAGTGCCTACCTGGGAATAAATATTAACTGTCAAGTTGACTGGTTCATCACAGATTGCATAAAAAATTGCCAATAATCGGTTGAGAGAGAAAGCCTTAGGCCCTAAACATTGTTTGACAGACTTTTCAGCAGTATGCTTGATCGCAGCACGTTTCTTGGCCTTATCGCTTCCTTTCAGGTAGAGCCTTTTGTCATATTTAGGTGAATTAAACGATGCTAAGTACGCAGCAATTAAGAGGTACTTGGTGTACATTGGTAGATCAATCGCAGAATTTCCTAATTTTGATTCTGGCTCAACGGCTCCTTTGATAGAGAAACTGGAACACATAAACATGATTAAAATAACAATTTGCCTCAATGCAAAATGAGAAGAAAAGGCACCTCCAGGTAGGAAAAAAAACATCCACTCCACAAACTTGACAATTTTATCTGAAAATTAATGGAGCCCAGTCTAAGGATATCTTATTCGTACAACCCAAATTTTACCTTTAATGGTCATTCGGTGGGGGATTTCTTATTAATGATTATTGAGTTACTTGAGTTCAAATAACATCACAATTAGGGACACGGAAAAAAAAAATAAACATGAATACAGTTATGAAAGTCTCGACTCCACTTCCCAATCATGACTTTTAGATAGCTCCGCTACACTAAGGCCTGCCTTAAAAGAATTTGGACATCGCAAAATAGCCTCCATGAAGATATTAATTTCCTGGAAAACTGAAGAATATTTTCCTTTTGACTTGTTTTGGAAAACTCTCTTAGCAGTTTGATTTGGTGAGTCTGAAAAGTTTGAGGTCTTACATAAATATTTGCATCAATGTGCTGAAATCATCATTATATTAGACTGTAAAAATGACTAACAGTACTTACTCAGTGCCAAGATAGACGCAATTGGTTATTTTTTGAAGGTATGGTTTGATGGCTCGGAATAGCAAGGACCTGAGGTTTGAGTCTGACAACTTCAATTCCTTCTTTTCGATAGGTTCAACATACTTATTAAAGACAATTTTGACCTGATTGGAAAGAGAAAAAACATCTGATAAAAAAAAATGGAGATCAATGACTAAACTTAGAAACACTGTATCTGGTTTTTATGACAATTCCAACTCCTGGCCAAACTTCATATTAATTGTAGAACTAATCAACATAATTTCTTGAACATTTTCGAGATTCTTTTTCTCTTGTTGAAAAAAAATGTCATGGAAATTTCAAACTAAAACCCTGGTTAATCTCTCTTTCAAAAAATGTAACTGTGGAACAATTGAAACACTTCTGTAAAGATATGAGGTTTTCAGGTTTGGCTTTTGAAATGGTAGCAATTTGACAGATGAATTACTTCAATACAGAAATTGTGAGATCATGATCATGCGTTAAATCCAATATTCAACTGTACCTGCTCGGACAGGGTCGGTTTATAACAGAGAATATTGCTTGAATGGGCTTTTTTTCCTATGATAAGAATTTTCAGTCATTAATAGAACTTGGTGCGCTACAACAAACTCTACATCTCTCTACCGAGACACAGCTCTGCCTGAAATGAGTTCTTACATCAGACAAGAATTCTAACGGCAGCTAAAAATGAAGAGCTCTACGGTAAAATTGAAAAATGAAGTTTAAAAATTTCAATTTTTCAGAGAGATATCAGAGGAAACTCATTGAGATATCAAGTTATCATTTAAAGTAATTACCCAATTTTTTAGCTCCTTCAGATCTCTGCAAACATGAAGGAAATAACCCAGGAAGAGATTAAGGAAGTCTCTATAGAGTTCTTCAGTATATTCTGGAGGTCTCAGACTCCACAAGATACTTAACAGATCGTCTGCAACAAATTAAAAATTAGTGCAAGATAGTCGTGGAGACCGGCTTGAATGTACTTTACCTCCTGCTTTTGGCAGAATTTAGCAATACATATTGTCTCTTAGGATTTTTTCGGTTAAAAGTTAAGTTCCAATTGATTTGTAGAAGAGTAAAACAACAAGAGAATAAATTATCAAAGCTACTGATATACAGTGCAAATGTGAATTTACTTCAGGGACTGTACTTCAGAAGTAAGGAAAAAACAGATGTAACCACCGGACCTTACTATGATGTACAATTTTCAGCCAAAAATTATTTTTCAACTTTTTTCTTTTCCTCTGACGGAGGCGGAGAGGTAATTAATAACTGAATTAGAAGTCCTCAGATGGTTTTGAAAAGTTTTCTCTTTTCAACTGCGAACTCTAACAGAAAGGATCAAATGTACCAAATTTAATAGGAAGAAACCAAGTCACATCAGTAATGAAGCATGAATGATCGATCATCCATAAATCCCCCTTTGAAGCTATGGTAAAGAATCCATTATTCAGATGTTTGTTGCAAACACCCTGTTAATCTATCCTTTTCCGTAGGTTTAAACGGCAGATCAATCGATATACTAAATAGCACCGAGTCACATCAAGATCGAACCAAAGAAAAGGGGTTTGAAGTTTCCTTCATTTTCCTCCATAGGACGCAATTTTGGAGATATAGTCCAATGCTTATTCTCACATTTAAAATGTTCTTCTTCGACTTTGAATTTTTAACGGAAGAAAATGTGTGACTAGTGTTTAAAAATAGTTACCTAAAATAAAACTTTCTTCCTTTCGGGTTCATTCGGTCTAAATGAAAGAATTTCCACACCATAAAAAAGAGCCATTTCCAAATAGCATGAAAAAGCACTAAAAATGAAGTCAAGGGATCTCATAGAAAAATACAGTGTTGCCATTGAATGTGGAAAATGAAATTCCCTGACATTTCCTTGATTTCTCTGTTACATTTTGGTAAAATTCCCTCACATTTCCTTAATTTCTCTGTTACATTTTGGTAAAATTCCCTAGCAATTGAGGATATGCCAGATGCTTAAAAAGAAATGATTGGAAGCAGTTTTCAGACAAAATTTTCTGTACAAAATGTCACACCCATTCTAGATAGGAAATAAAGGTATCTTAAAATTTTTTCCCTGACATTTCCAGGTTTTCCCTGACTTTTTAAATTTCCCTGCCATTCCTCGGTTTTCCTGGTATTCTCTGACTGGCAACCCTGAAAATTGAAAAGTGTTGATTGCTTACCTTTGCTGTACTGGGGAAAAACAATGGTTTGTATTGGATAATTGAAGTTAAACTGAGAAGGTACTATTTGGGTAATCATGATGCAACATAAGTTATCCTTTTCAGTCAGTTCTGATATCCGAGCAAAGGCTTGTAATTGAATTTCAGATAGTTTATTACAATTTTTTAATACCTGGAAAAAGGTTAAAGGATTCACCAACTGATAAGTAAAATTAAAGTGTTATAAACGGAAACTGAAAAAAAACAAGGTATCAAAACTGAGGCAAAAGCAACATAATTTTGTGAAATCGAAAAGATAGCCGCTAACTCTCAAAGAAAAGGAAATGAAATAGGCCTTTTTTACTTTGTTTTCTATGTAAGTTTGAATTTATTATTTCAATTTTGTACAATTTGTTTACTCAGCCTCAAATTGAAATGTTCTAATTCATTAATGCTTGTTTACTGGCTCTAGAAGTCATAAATGTCTCAACTACAACTCTGCCTATTAGCCAGAAGAGGTCTCCCCTCCTTGCTCGCTGTTGCTCTCTTTATGAATAGCTATCAAGCTTGTTTTCTGAACCTCTTTCTCAATTATTAAACACATTTATGCACTGCCCCTTTTTTCACCACTTTGAGCAACGATGCCTTTGAAGCTGCAAGAAGCAACTGCCTGTGTCACACTATCAAATTGTTTCATCAAAACATCGAGGTCAGCGCACTGCGCAAGATCGTTTCTGTGACAAAGAAATAGAAGAACCAATCAGAGCTCACTAACTCTTGAAAAGCAAGCGGGCCGCACGCTTTTGAAGAAGAGGCTGCTGCGCGCGCATCTGGACCTCGACATTTTGATGGGAGTGTTTTGATAGTGTGACACAGGACACAGGCAAATGCAGAGACGAGCAAAAACTACTACCGACTGATTTTTTGGAGGAAACATTAATATCAACATTTTATTTGAGTGAATATTTCTTTACAGAAAAAAAAGAGAAATTAGTAAACATTGAGTGGATCCTGAAATTACGGTATTCATAAATCTTACTTGTAAAATAGTGAACTTGGAGCAAGAAAAATTCAGCAAAAATACAAATAAAAATTATGTATGCTTACAAGATGATCCTCTGATTTGTAGAGATGTGACATGGTCACGTTACTTGAAAACTACACCGTTGTAAAAGTATCAATTAATTTAAGTCAAATTTCTATTGAGGTTTATTCTTCATGCTGAGCCAGTCTTGGTTTTAAAATAAGCTTAGCACTCCAAAGCATCTCTATCAGTTCAGTAGATGTTTGAACATTCGCTAAGAGGGCTTATTAGAAGGTTCAATAATATTCTGTTCAGAACAATCAGTTCCATGATAATGATTTTTTTCATTTATTGTTACCGGAGTTTCAGTTTCTGATCAGAAGTTCTTTTTATGTGGCGTAAGTTAAGGACTATTGTCTTTGAATATATTCAGATTTCATTATCACTGGAGGAAATTATTATGCTACTCCTATTCATGCATCACTGCCACCTCATCTTGTTTCATTGATGCTATTCTCGAATTTTATTTTTTATGTGATCTGTATTCTAAAAAGAACCTAAAATAAGAGTAAAACAAAAACAAACAACTTACAATGATATGAGGACTCTCCCTGAATGTTTTATTTGACTTACTTTCCGCTTTCAACAAGTGAACAAATTGCATAATCGAGTCACACCGAATATTTTCCGTTTCACATCTTTCTTGGCCCACTGTAAAATTGTAAATGGAAGAAGTTATTGCAGAAAAATCACTCTGGATGGGTTATTGCTCTGACAAGTTGTAAGTAAGAGAAGAGCATGCGAGACAACTTAAGCTTTGCGTTGAATTAAAAAAGTTGCCAACTTGAACTTGAGTGGAAATTAAATATATTTAGTGAATCTAAAACATTCTGTAATGTCTAGCTCTTACTTGTCTACTATCTAGATTTCAATGAACAAACATGGAGATTAAACTTGCATAAAACAAGCATGGCAGCTTCTAGATAAAAAATTATAAGTAGTGGAATTAACTTACAGAATGTTTCAATAATAGGTTTCAACAGAAGTCTATTAGTGTACGCCTCAATACAGTTGACTACACAATGCTTCACTTTCACCAACGTCAAAAGTTCCAAAAGAATGCTGGTCTTTCCAGTGGATGAAAGACCATACACAATTAGACTGGGCAACATCTGTTCTTCAGGCTGAAAAACACGAAAAAATTTCAATTGCTTACTGCAGTTTCAGTTCACGCAAGACGGCATCCCTAAGTCTCGAACAAATCTGTCATGAATGAAACAAGAGAAAGAACTTCTGAACTGCAAGGGGATGAAATTCCCACTCACAATCATTAGAGCCAAAATAAATTATCAAAGATATGGAATATAATACTTCCTTCCTCAGAGGAAGCAAAACAGAGACTTGGCTAAGACTGAATTTTTCAGGCTCAGAGGTTTGCAGTAGTTAAGTTTTGCTTTTCTTTTGCCGTAATACAGCCAGGGTTGCAGGAAGTTCCAAAATTCCGACCATTCGCTGCATTCCGATGTTACTGCCTCACAGCCATACAGCCACTTCTAGAGCTCTCAATTGCCTAGTAAAATGTGATTTATTCCTATTCATGAGAGTATTTTTCAAAGTATTGAACACAAGAAAAGAAGAAAAAAAATGGCCAACTCTTTTAAAAATCGGCCCAAGATTTGCCTCTTGTTTGCCGCGATAAGATTGTGAGATCAGGCATTTTCTACATTTCTAGCTATGGCAGTAACTAAAGTTTAAAAAAATCCATCCTTCGTTCACCGCCTGACTTAATTAGGAGTTTTGATCTCATGATTTTGACAACTAACATGTTGCTATTGGCTGCTTCTAAAAAATCAAAATGTTGTCGCATGTCATATGATTTGGTAGATGCTGCTGATATCAATGACAATCAAAGTACCATCAGAATGACCTTGTGCTCCTTTAAATGGTTATTTTTCTTGCTAATTTTCACTTGGACAATGGTTTGCTGAACTTTCAGCTGCGCATCGTTGTTTACCCCCCTTCTATCTAAGCATGGGGAGAATAAATTAGAACTCGCAATTAGCTAAACTTCATTCCCCCCAAATTAAAAGAAAACTCTGCATTTGTGGACTGGGCCTGACCTCACTTCATCCACTCTATTCAGTTTAGAAATATAGACCTAGTTACCGGTCACTAACACATGAGGTAGACGGTAGTAACTGATTTCTGATGGAAAAAAACTGAATGCGTTAATCAACTGTATCAGCTAGAAGTCTGAGCAAGGGTGAAAATAAGTCACTTACCACGGCAAACAGTCCCAATAATGTGTTAATCTCATTGTCTCGGCGAGGATACTTTTTTGTCAACTTATCCTTCAATGGTTGGAGATGGAAGTAGAAAGACCCGTCAGCCATCGTCCTTGACTTAACTTCACTAAGAATAAGAGTTCAGCTGCCCACACATCAAACAAGTCTAAACTACGAGATGAGATAAGTACATGTGATGAAGATTTTTCCGAAAACCACGAGAAAAAAACTGAGGGAGGAACTAAACTTCTTGAAAATTGTACTCGAAGTCGAAAGGAGTTCCCTCAGTTCAGAGGTTAGAGAAAATTTTACAGAATTTGAGAAAGTGCTCAGGTAAGTTTAGAAAAATAACAGGGCTTAATTTAGAATTGTGATCTATACAACGAAAAATACGAAAATTATATCTACGAAAAAATTAGAACAGCGACAGCTTAGGAGGGTTGTAAAAAGTATGTTATCTCTTGCCTTTGGTTCTTGTTGTGTTGATTACGTTGTTTACATCATGTGACCATGTGTGCTGTTTTTTCCCGCGCTTTGAGACACGCCGCTGGAATGGTGGGGGAAACGAGTGCCCAATCGTCGGTGTTCGTTTCACGCGGTCTTTTTCAATTTTGGGAATGAACAAATCAAGCACTGTGCCCCACTGCCCTCCCACAATTATTGGTCTCGGATGGTAGATTAGTGGTGCAATTGTACTTCAAATCCTTGTAAAAACAACGATCAAAAGTGTAGTTAAAAATTTATCTTGAAGCAGGGCAATGTGTTCATTTATTATTGAGTACGTTATATGGATTGCATTACGCAAAAAAGAACCAGGGGCATTGCCATGTTGCTAGAATTGAGCGACTTCACCCTTTGCAATAAAACTACTGTAATCATGCAATAATATGAAATTTACACGGTGATTTTTGTCTCAAGTTTACAGTCTTTAGCGTGTAAAATAGAAAATGTTTATAGGTGGCCAGGTTTTTCTTCCAGGACAAAAGAAGTTGCACAATCTTAGCAACATTGCAATGCTCTTGGTTCCTTTTTGCAAAATGCAGTCCATATGTTCAGTTACACTTTTTCGATGGGTAGGGGGTGGGAGGCGCTAACTCCCAGCTGTATTTATGACTCTGGTTTCATTCATTACACCTCTGTCAAAAAGTGTATCATTTTGATCATCGCAGAAATTAGATTTTGGATTTTCTATTTTGTTTGATGAATATTGCAATCTTTCATAAGAGCTGTAAGAAAAAATAGAAATAGGGGATGTTGATGAAAGGTTCTAGAAAACCGGAGGGGGGGGGGAAGTCTTGTCCCTAATTGATTATTCACATTCTAGAGGCACATCAAAAATGACTTCATTTGAGTATTCTATGGCTAAGCAAGGATCCATTGGAGTGTCAAAAGATAAACACGGTCATATTTACCAGAAATTTAATAAAATAAATTACAAGTCAAAATTAAAATCAATACTTCCCAATGCACAAGTTTACAAAATAGTAGAATGACGTTTTGACATTATAAAAAGACCACACCAAGTGCTTTCAGTCACTTAAAAATTAAAATATTCCTTCTGTTGGTGTAGCAAGTAGAGAAAACTACTGATAATAATGACTATTAACATCTTCAGAAAAATTGACCTCCATTAAAGGTACCAGTTTATGTACATTGTTACGAAGTTTGTTCTTAGTTGTCAAAATAAAGAAAAATTTATGAGTCAGGAGGGAATCAGCAGGAATAATATAAATTACATAGTAAAAATATCATAAGATACTTGCTTTGGACAAGAGAGTGCATTAAAATAAGATACCTTTTAAATGAGATCTCAATTTTTCACAGCTCTGGGGCTGTAAATTTGATGCGGCGCAGTAAAATTAGGAATTTAGAGTTCCTTATCGTGCTCTGAAATTCGATCAAATTTTTCTGCTTAGTCAGCAAGGAATTGAGATTATGTAATCAAAGGTGCTCTGCGAAGTTCTTACGATAAAATACCTTCCCCATGCTGAGATACTTGTGGAAATGTTTAACGAGAGAGTAAGGGAAAAAGGAATTCAAGGCGAAAAGGTTCAGTTTGACCCCATCTACAATCACTGGCTACAGAAATTCATTTTGTATTTGTTTGCTACTTTAAAAAAAAAAAAATTAGAATTTTAAAATATTTTTGAATTATTCTCTGAATTCTTGGGTGTTCTTCAGGACAACTGATGCAAAGTGAATTTCTATAAGCAGCAAAGTTTAATTTGGTAAAAAATCAACCTCTTTACCCCAAGTATTCTTTTTATTGACTGAATCACATTTATCAAGGTCTAAAAAATGGAAAAATAATACTTTCCCCTTCGACTTTTTAATTCAAAATAATTAAACATGAAAAGCATGCGGCAGTAAAATCAAGGTTAGATCAATCCTGCGTAACTAAATAATGCATTTTCAGACTTGCACATCAAAATAAATATGAAAAAAGAGTGAAACCAAAAATTGCAGATTTTTTCCGGATATAAATTTAATGCGGGAGAGTTTACTGTTAAATCATGAAGGCCTTCTGGTAGTCTGACTAAGAACAACTGAGTGCCAACTGAAAACCTAGGATATAGGAAAAGAGGGACATTTTTAAAACTGAAAAATAAAAAAAGAGCTTTATACCAAGCTTTTATGATTTAGCAAAATTAATACCTGAAACCTTGATATCCTATTATGTAACAGAAGAGCTTAAAACCCTAGCAAAGTTAATACAATAAGATTATTTAACGACACAAATAAAAAATCCTAACTATTAAACGTCAGACATTCATTGTTAATATCACATTTTCATTACTATTCAAAGGAAAATATTTCCCTTCTAAGAACATAAATCATCCATGCAAGAATATTTTCAAAAGATCAAATTTCCTGGCAAGCTCCATTAGAGAATTTACAAGGTACTGCATTTAATTGTATTCTTCAATAGCATCTGATCTGAAGAACGCAATCAGTCTGTTCTGACCACTTCAAGGGATATTTTTTACTTTTTTTAAAATTGATGATGGCTTACTAAACAAACTTGTGATGAACAGGAGCTGAAGGTATTCCATAAAATATTAAATATGTGACAGAATTAATAATAATAATAATAATAATAATAAAAAAAAAATGATTGTATTTTACAGTCTTTGAAAGACTCAGCTAATCATTCTACTTAGTAAAAGCACTGTAACTTCAGAATGAGTCTCTAAATCATGAAACTACAGCATTAAAACAACTTTTAGAAACAATAACTGATTAATAATCTAGAATACCTAAAATACGGTCAAATATTTAGAATAATTTAAGGTGGGCAATGGTTTCTCATTTTTGATCCGAATCATGCATTTCTAATCACCGAGAGTCAGAAAAAAATTGTTGCAATTTATCATAAAACCATTCTCATCAAAAAATCTAAATTACAAAGAGGTGAACAGGCTAGGCACAATAAACAGGCAAATAAAAAAATGAAAAAAAAAATGGAGTTGCTTTAAAAATTAGTTAGTAATTCTTCAATTTGTTGTTAGACGTTACTGCGGGGATAAGGGTGCTATGACCACGGGCCCAACACTTCGGGTTTCCAAGTTCTTTAAGAGTTGAGCAAGCCAATGCTTGGTGGATTTGTCCTCTTGAAGACACATCACAAAGGTGGCATCCCTGAGCTGATCTGGTAAGCACTGTCGTAATGCCACACACGCTCTGAAAATGAGAATTCCGAGTTAGTTTAGGCATCACTGAATTAACACTTTTGCCCTGCAAACTATTTGCTTCTTAATTAAGATTAAAAATTATCCAATAACCTAACCACATAATTAGTTATTTTCTTTACACACTGATTTTTAGTGTTATTACAACTTCCTTCATTATTGCCTAGCTCATCTATTGGTTCATAATATTTTAGAGTGTTCGATGAACACTGCGAACTTATGCAGGGTGTCTACTAAAATTTAATTTTGGGTTTTCCTGATTTTTCTTGTTTAAACAGAATTTCCTGATTTTTGGTGCAAATAAAATGACACTCGTTTTATTTTACAAATGAACATTTTTCTTGAATTAAATCAAATGTTTCATTTTTGCATGTGCTAAACTGCATGTAAGGAAATGAAAACTGCTTGACCCACCCAAAATTTCCTGATTTATGACTGATTTTCTCCTGATTCCCTGATATCATACGTTTTTTACTGATGGTAGACCCTGATAAAAAATTTATCACAATACATTTAAGTTCATTTCTAATGAATGGTCACTGTGTCCATGAAAATTCTCATCATTGAAGAATCTCTACCGAAACCGAGATCATAACCAATAAATTAAAGTAAAACTTGGACATGCATACCTTGCATTATCAGAAAGCCTGAGGTAGCAACGAACTACATGCTTCAGCAACCTAGCGGAGGGTTCTTTGGCCAAAGATAACACCATTTTCCCCTGGAAAAATACATTAAAGAAAAACAAAATTCAGCGATAAAACCTTCAAAAAGAGCACATGAAACAATGATAGATGAGCCTCACATTTTTTGCTTTTTACATTGGATTTTAAAGCAAAATGATAAAAATTGACGCGATAACAGATTTCTTTTTTTTCAATGATTTCTGATATGGGCTAAAATAGACTTCTGTGAAACTGGAAAGATCACTTTTCCTCGGAGCTTGGTGGTTAAATAAATGAATTACATGCCTTAGGAGGTGTAACAGACCAGCTGCTTAAAATTAAAAGCATCCTAGGGTTTATGATGCAAGAGTAAATTCTAAATAAAAAGTAACTTTGGCAGTAACCTGGCTCAACAAAATAAAACGCTAATTTGAAATTATTTTTTAACAGCGTTCAGGGCGGAGTCTCTGCTATAAAGGTACATATTTGCAAAAATCCCCCGACCATTTGCAGTTTTTAAGAATTCACTTGGTCACAAGTTGTCCTACTTATGAGACTAAGGAATACTGAGAGAATGCTAATTGTTTCAAAATTTCTGTTCGTAGGTTATTTGAGACTCAACAGGCAACTTAAAGTATTTTCCTTTACTATTTTTGTCCCCTTTTATTCCTTATGACAAATCAGAGGGTAAGTTCTTGACGTTAAACCTGCTTTAGTCAAAAATACTCGTTTTGAAAAATTGTGGTTTTGATTTTATTGTGTTTTTTTTAAATATCTATGTATACAAATACTTACGAGGATCATGGCAACATGAGAGAATCTATCATAAGTTTGACAAATATAGGACAAGCCACTATCATCCAAAAGAATTTTTTGAAGGATGAAAGTGGCGACGGTTTTCGAAAGTTCTGAGCCAGACTCCATTATGCGTAAACACAGAGGTATGATTTCTGTTGTTAGTAGGAAAGTAATAACTTCTTGTTCATCAGTCTGAAAAAAAAAGATACCAAACGTAAACTTGAGTTGGCACATAAAAAATTAATAAAAAACCCACAGAAGATCAAAGTTTTAAAAATTGGATACAACTAAAAACTGACACCCATTTTCCATTCCTTCAAAAGAGCGTTATCAGACTTTTTTCGCATGAAAATTTTAGCGAATATCTTTAAATGGGCGAACATAAATCACACAGAATTTTGTACAATGACAATGATTGGTCATTCTTCAAGAGACTTTGGAACTTCTTGCATCCCTGCTTAGCCTAAGGTATCTTGTAATTTTCAGCAAAACGTATTTTACTTCCTTGAAGGATCTCCCTTCTTAACTACATAGACGTGACCAAAAAAAAAAAAAAAAAAACTCCCTCAAGAAAATAAAATACGACAGGAAATTTGTGATATCATAGACCGAGCAAGGATGCAAAAAGTTTCAAATTGCTGAGTGTGTTCCAAAATCCAGCATTTTTACCTTGCAGCCAAATTTTGTAGTTACCCTGTTGGAAAATGCTTATTTCCATGGCAAACTGAGCTATTTGTTCCATTTTTTTAAGTACTGAGAAAGAGAGAGAGAGAGAGGGACAGAAATAGACGGAATAAAAAAAAGAGTTCATCACTTTTGGAAATGACCTGGTAGCCTTAAATTTGCCAAGGTCTGCAGATTGCAAGATCAGACATATTTTACACACATGGAACCAATATACACGGTTTACTAGTATTGATGTGTTGAGCCTTAAAAAATTGGAAGATCCGTAGCTCCATTTTGAGTCCAAATTGGTGTAAAAGCAGGACACCTGTTCCAGCAAAAAATAGGATTTTGTACTCCGGTGCACACTGTAGGGGAAAGGCTTTCTTTACAAGGAGTTCATGCCTGAACTTTTTCCTATGGTTGTCTGTGTGATGTATGGTGGGTACCGGAAACCTATTTTTCGCAGGAAAAACAACTCCGCTTGTATCTAGGATCATCCATTTAAATCTTGTTACAGTGCTCAGATGAGCTTCCTACATTTTCAAATATATTCCAAAATTGTATTTTTCAGAAAATCACTGATAACACGTTATACAGAAAGTTGTTGTCTATGGACACATACCTTGACAAGGGCTCCGATCACACCAAGGCTCGTCAACCGGAGGTATTCAAATGGTCGAGTTTTACTAACAGTGTGTAAAAATGGATATAAATATAAAGGAATATGAGCAGCGAGGAATGCTGAGCGAGTCTCTGAATGAGAGGCAACACACTGAAGGAGCGCCAGAGCATTGCAAACGCGGTTGGACTGATGAGCAGTCAAAGTTGCAGGGTTAATAGCAGGATAAATGTTGATGATTTCTTGAAGAAGGGCAGCAATAGTCCCAAATGAATTCCATAACATAGGAGCCAAATCTGGCACTACTTCTCGCTTTTTGCTGGAAATGAAATCAAATTAACAAATACATTAAAAATTACATTTAAAAGTTCTTCCCTTGAGAGGAAATTAATACTTCCTATTTTTTTTTCTTGCTGAAGAGAAACTATTGGAAATTCACAGGTTGGAAAAAGGGCATGACACGAGCACCCGGTTCCAAACAAAGAGGCAGTAGTAAAACTTTAATAGTGCTAGAAAACTGAATGCAAATGAACTAATTGCAACACTTCAAATCTTTAAATATTATTTCTTTTTAAAATGTCTGCATGATTAAGTGTCATTGTGCACCTCGGCACTATCACTTAATGTTTTCCTGATAATAAGCCTATTATGTGAGTTTTAGAGCGTTAAGATAACCATATTCTTGTTACTTTTTTTATGCTTAAGAGCTGACTCTATGTCTCTTTTCTTATTATTGATCGATTTAGAATAAAAAAAAGTGTGTGCTCGGGTGTTACAAAAACCATAAGTTTGGGCACTTTTACACACTCCCACACTGCTGCAAGTTCACAAGCATGGGTGAAACATTGGAGATTTGAACTTAAATCACTGACCTTAATTCAAGAAGGGCATTTTCTCTTGTTTCAATGTTGGCCAATTCAATTACCCACATATAAATCTTCTCTCGATCAACACTTTGCTGCTGAAGAGCGGTCGGACTTTCTTGAGCACTCATAATCCCTTCACGCTGCAAAATGAGAAAGTGAAACATGAGTCATAAAAAAAGTTTACCTTTCGGGCAGGAGATGTAAAATATAAATATTGAACTGATACCCACTTGTATGACACATAAAGCAATGGAGCTGACTTTAAAAACTATTTATGAAATGAGATTAGTCTGAGAATTACTCCAGAGAAAAGTAGTCACATGAAACAAAGTATAGAAATAATCTTATAGTGGACTGGCAAAAACATCTCTCAATAATCTTACATGGGGAGCAGATGATCAGGATCATGGATGTCTTACAATTGCTAGCGAAGCTCATTCTCCAAACATTGAAATAAAAATCAACGCTTGCTTACACTAGCTTTCATCAATTGTATCATCCCAATACATGTATTAAGCTGTTGATTGGTGTCAGCTAAGAAATAATCAGAGATTTACTTCCAGCCCAATAAACAGTGCAAACTTAACAATGTCGTCTTGTAGATCTCTATTTTGAAAGAGATAATGAATCCATCCATTTCATGGTAAACAACATATAAGTGTCTTTAAATTGTGTTTACTAAACATTTCAGATTGGTGCTACTATTTGTTAGACAACAAAATGTTACATCTGTCATGTGTTGTTGACCTCTACTGGTGAGCTGTAGTTTTGGGTACTATTCATCACCATCACAAAGTTGAGAGTTCGCACAAGTTTCTGTAAGTAATTTAAGGAAAAAATGAATGATACTACCATTATAAAACTTCCTTCATTTGATTGACTGCTTCCGAAAGAAGACTGACGATTGATGAGTAGTCAAGCGTGGCACCAAGATCTCCTACGTTGCTGCTGCTGAGATAATCGTACTATAACTAGAAAAATAGAATTGGAGGTTGTTATACAAAACCTGATAGTCGATTGAATAAAACTAACACTAATTAATTTCTGAAATAATGGTTGTAATAAGTCAATTCTTCACACTAGACACCAAGCGATCATATAACCTTTCATTTATTTATTTACCGAAATCGGCAACTCAACTTTCTTGTTGCCAAATCATGCCAAATGTACGCCACGCCATGACGTCAAGAATGCTTTTTGACTGCTATTGACGTCACTCTTCACATTATTATCAAATCAACCTAACCTAATAGAATTCTTATTGGTGAAGCGGTGAAGTTTGAATCTGAACGATTGGAAATTTATTTCCTTTTTTCTTTTCACTCCTTTCAGCAGAAAAAGTTTCTATTATTGATATGTTTACCACGAATGTACATCTGAATTTCTCGTATCCATTTTGTGATGTGTTCAAAGTGGCCCCTCAGCTCGCCTTCAAGTTGTCTCGTCTATAGAGCACTAATGCACAGTGCGTTGTCTAGCCATCAAAACCTAGAGGTATAAACTAATCCATTATTTTTTGGGGGGGACGAGAAGGAATCGGCCGTCAGGCCATTACCGGCTATTCAATGATACATTTCATCCTGAAGAGGTTCGTAGGACTTACCGAAAGAATGTCCATGTTAAAGTTCAAAGTTTCTGAAAGATTAAACGCACACTCATGAGAGATGAGGGTCTGTATAAGTAATAGTAGTTATAAGGATGACTAGGATAATCCAGCACGTGACGCCTTGTGAGACAGCAAGTGCAATTTGAGTTGTCAAGATCAAAAACTGCTAATACAAATGCATATCAACTGTGAACCCGCCAGACCGTATCTCGTTTAAGCGGTGTCTGCAAATCTCTACTCCTAATTTATGTTTTAAGGAAAACAAATCTGTATCATTCCTTGAAGTCTTAGCAAAGTTTTCCTTGCACAGATGAGAAATATCACGGAATTTTTCAAAAACTGATGTTGCGTGGCTTTCTATTTGAAAAATAAAGTACCTATGACAGGAAGTCTGCTTTATTGCAAACTGAGATACGTGGTCTGGTAATTTCTCTATTGATATGTACCCTTTGCTGATGCTGATAATTAATTCAAATACAAAGGAAGCTATCAGTTATGAAATTGCAAGAATGCATGTTTAGGAAAACCCGATTTATCAGGAGAGCTGAAATACTAACAATGTTTGTTATTTTTTGTCCTGCAACAATGCAAGTCTCCATTCATATTTAATTTTCTGAAGGAAAACCAAACAACGGTTATTATTGAAACTCACTGTAAAATTTTATCACTTGTTCTTAATACCCAAATCACAGAAAACTGCAAGGAACATTTTGATTACTTAGTTTGCCTTGCAGAGAATTAAAAGTAGCACTACTCTCATAGTAGACTCTTGAATGTGTTTCTCTTGAATGTCCAGTCATCCAATAACAATTGTTACTCATTTATTTTCAGAAGTATAACACCAAACGACAAAATTGGAATCATGCTTGACTGAAATCATAACTTACTTTTCTACCATGTCGAAGGAAAGGAGGCGAATGAAGGTTACTCATAAAAGACCGAATCCACTCTTTGAACAATGGCTTGAAGAATGGCGAGAAGAAGCAGTTCAAAAAAATTCAAATCTTCAGTATTGCTACAGCAAGGTAATAGAGTGTATTTTATCTGCCTACACCATCTAGATAACTATAACGAGAGTTAGTTGATCGCATGAAATGGCACTTAAGAATGAAGAATATTCTCGGCTGCCAAAATTTAGGATATTGATGCCTGAAGTCAAAATATTTGTTTTTTCATCACAATGTGTAAGAATCTACAACTTTTCTCTATTTTTTTTTTTCTTTCTTTCTTTTTCTTTGTAAAGGAAAGTAAGTAAAACTTCTCCTTGAAGTTTTCTGTAAATACTTTTTACACAGGAAAGAAATTCACACCAAATTTAAATAAAAAAAGTTTCGTCAGTTTTTCTGAAAATAATCAAGCATGAGTAGTAATTTGTAACATCACAATTCAAAATATGCATTTTTTTTTTTTCTCGATCCATTGATACAAACAAAAACACTTACAATTTGGCCTGAAACTTTAAGTAACAAGGTAGGCAAATAGTGCTGGGTGTACACTATTTTGCAGATCAAATGAGATAAAGAAATTCCAAAAATTCTCAATCAGAGTCAGAAGAGCCATGAATGCACCTACTTGCCTTTGCAAAATGCTTAAAAGTATATGATGATTTAAATTTTTCCCTTTTGTAGGGTTCCTCTCAATATTACTTCCAACTAATAATGATTACAAAAAAAATTGAGTGTAAAAAGTAATTTACCTTCCTCCTTGACAGTTTCGCAAGAGTGATAACTTGTATGATTAATGATTTTCTACTCCCCTGATAGCGCCCAATTTCCTCTCTAGGGGCTCATTTCTGCGTTAATAAATCAAGCATTTTTTTTTTTACAGTCTTGTGAGTACCTATATCTTTTATAACCCAAGGAAAACCTACAAAAAGTGTAAAGGTATCATCCTCTTCTGAACTTGGACACATTTTTCTCAATTCTATTGTTTCAAAATCTTTGCTCCCATTTCTTTTTAAATAGAAAATGAGCCATATTGTTTGCTTGACATTTTTGTAGTATTGGAATGCATTCACATAAGGATAAAAAATTCCTAATGTCTCTGAGGAAGTATGTGAGTTTCCTGATTAAAAAATTTGGAACAGTCAGGAGTTCATAATTTTGTTTGTGTAATGCAGCAAACCTGTTTTCTTAATGCAGCCATATTTATATTGTTTTATTTTCCATCACAAAAATAAATCATAGGCAACATGAAAAGCAGTCAGGCCGGTTCTAGTTGAAGCCAAGCCATTCCTAAAATTTATTAGTATTCTTTTACAATAATTTGTATTTTATTTTACTAAGGATAGGTATGTAATACCCCTACTTTTTTTTGTTACAGGCACTGAAGTCTCTCAAGCGATTTCCTTTACCTCTCAAAACAGGAAAGGATTGTTTGATTCTGGACAACTTTGGGCACAATTTATGTAGCAAATTAGACAGGAAGCTAGAAGAATACAGAAGAACCCATCCACTGAGTGAGCATCCATTAAGTGACACCTATGATAAATATCTGATTAGATCATTGGGGAGACTGTGTAATTGCAGAACTTCATTGGAAACCTTTTTCTCTGTCAAGCAGTTTTTCCAGACACAAGGATGGTGATCCATTATGATTATTGGGGGATTCCATCCATATATTGGGTAGTTAAACATATCCCAATCCAAGATATGTGTTTTTTTAACTCATCAAGTGATATGCAAATTTACCATAATAAGTGTCGCAGTGATAATGATTCAGCCTGTAAGGCAGAACCTGTGCCTCTTCTGTTGAAATCATTTAATGGTTTGCTGTTAAACTTCAAAAGAATTTATTCTGCATGCACCAGTTTTAAGATAACTTGAGGTTAGACAAAAAAGTCAAAACTTATCGTACAAGTCGTGTAATGGAGGTCTAGCATTATTTCTGAATGGGTAATGAAGGAGTGCCCTTCTCTACCAAAGGCAACAGTTTTAAACGGGTGTAAAATGGAACGAAAACTTAAAATTCTGAAAATAATACATTCCTCAAAATACTCATACTTACATTTTTTATACCTTTTAAGAACCTGTTTTTTTTTTCAGTTAAATCAATTACGTAAGATTTGACAACTATGTAAACATTTTCAAGATAGTGCAAAGGAAGCAAAGAGCAATATCATTTCAAGATGGATCACTTAGGGAGGTGACAGATAAACTTTCATTTCTAGTATGTTGTATTTGTTGCCCTCGAATTTTCACCTCAAATTTTTTCTGTTAACTCTTAGGCAGCAGCGATGATTTAACTGATGTTGATGCACCAACTTTGGCATGTTCTACAAGCAACCCACAAAGAGCAAACAAGACTGCAAAGAAACGGGTATGATTTTTAGTAAGAATGTAAATTATTCTCACGCTCACATCTGTTAGAGATGATCAATTTCAAACACACAATAAAAAATTTATTTTGTATTCGTATCTGTTTCATTTTTATGTTTTTTTTTTTCATTATTTATTTGTCCAGTGCTGATTCTACTGCTTTATTTTCCCCATAAATTCATAGGTAGCTGTTCAAAGCAAAGATCCCAAACTTTGAAAGGCAGGATGAGTCTTATTGCTGGGTTTATTTTTTATGGATTTGTTTTGAGGAGGCAAAGTTACAAGTAACTGCATACAAGTTCTTGCATTTAAAAATCAGTCTCTTTTTTATTATGTAGGATGTTTGGTCATCTAGAAAATTCTAATTTGCTGTGTGAAAAACAGAGAAGAAAAAACATTTTGAAACAAAATAGTTTCTCTATTTACTTATCACTTTTACCTCAATTATTGTAATCTTAAGGTAATTTTCAGCACCTACTTATCACCTGATTTGGTTTGTCCAGAAATTGAATGATGAAGAGCGAGCAAGCACATCAACATCTCCTTCGGCCAAAAAACAAAGATCCTATGTACCTGCGTTTCGATCCGGAGGTTATGCCATTTTGATAACCCTCTATCGGAGTCAAAACGAAGGAAATTACCCTGGTTTCATGACTAAAGCTCAGCTTCAGAAGTCTGCTCAGGCTCTGTGTGATGCATCCTTCTATAAGCCAGACCCTGGTTCTTACTACACAGCTTGGTCAAGCATGGCAACGCTCATAAAGAAAGCTTTCATTTCTAAGACAGGGAATCCACCCAGGTAAGTAAGTCACTTGAAGCTCAATTATACCCTCGATTCTGTGCATTACTTAAAAAAAATTTCCTTTTTGAAAGATAAAAAGTTCAGACGAAATTCAATTGTACCTATAAATGGGTAAAAGGATCTTAGTACCGAACATCTCAGAATTGTGTTATTATTGGTACCATTGCATAGAGACGTGTTCAGTGAACATTTTGTCCCCAAAAAAGTCCAAAAATACCCATTCAACAGCACAGAACTTACGATGACCTGAAATTGGCTGTTCAAAAACTGTCGTTTTTAGAAAAAGCAATTTAAAATTTTTGAATATCTTGTTTGAGGTTCAAACATGTAAGATTCGTTTGTGACAATGCACCCTTCTCTGCCCATATAAAATTAAAAAACCCAGTTCGAAATTAAGTTTACCACGTTGCATTTATCTGTGTATGCACGATTACTTTCATTATTAGGTACCTACTTTTCAGGGTTCTTGCAGCCTTGAACTTGTCTCTCCCATCTGTAAATCTTTGAAAGAACTTAATTTTAAAAGAAATTGGTGAGAGCACTCATAATTCTTTGAACTTCATACTCTTTGGTCTAATTTTCAAGAATCACTTTTCGCGTGTCATTTATAATCGTGTGCACCCTTTCTTATCACCAGCTGCATTAAAAGTTTGTCTACTTATGAATAGTGACTCTCTTTTCTCTTCTATTGTAGGTGATCTTTTGAACTTTTGTACTTGTCAGTTGCTGGCTCATTCTCCAATGAGATTTAACTGTGCTATGTGCACGCATTCAATTTCACGAGGGATTTTCACAAGACATTTCTTTTCCAATGAAAGCCCTTAAAAAAATTTCCGAAAAATCTAGAACACTGATTTCAGGTTTTGTATCAATGGGGTGGCCTTGAATAACTCAGCTGATATCCTTGAAAATCTTCTAACATTTAATTTTGTCTGGCTAACTCTAGGTAACCCTGTGAGTGACCTTTATTTTCTTTTATTTTATAGATTTTCACTGACTATCGAAGGAACTGAGCTTGCAAAACAATTAGAAGAGGCTGATCCATCCGCTATCCAAAGCAGTGCCACTGTAAACGATGAGAACAAATGCCAGTCACGGACCAATGTTTACAGGGCAACACCCAGAAAGAAGACAAGCTCAAAAGGGAAAAGGCCCCTGAAGAAGAACTCGAGAAATATGTACGCTGATTTTTCTGAAAATGAAAGTGATCCAGACGAACCAGATGCTGTTGATGCCCCCGCTAGTCCACCGTCGAATACCATCTTCTCAAAAAACCCGCAAAATTCCTCAACTATGTCAAATACGAATAATCTTAATTCTTATGCAGATAGCATCTCACAGAACCAGAAGGGCCCATTTAATAAATATTCATCAAAATACGACTGGCTTGACCTCTCAAGTACTGAAGACGGATCTGAACAAGTAAATTGTTCGCCAAAATCTTCAGTGGAAAAAACTCCCGTCTCAAATGTAAACAGAGGGTCAAGTGGAACAATTTTGTCAAATTTAGGTTCTTATGTGATATCATCATCGGATGATGAATCTCCAGCCTTAGATACTGGATCCCTAGACAAGTGTGGAAGCTCTTCTAGACAGATCAGAAAAACGTCAAGTAGTGACAAACATCACGCAATAACTAGTAATAATACTTCTGTCTCAATAGAATTATCAGATTCAGATGATGATAGTATTCCTAAAGAGCTGAAATCTCCTGGTAAAAAAGTTAGTGCCCCATCAGACTCTGAAGATTTTTCGGTTCCATGCACTGACACATTCTCCAAGCAGTCACCTAGAAAATCAGAAAAAAACATAGGTTTTCTTGATTCTTTGTCAGATGATGAGTTTGATTTACTTGTCAAAAATAGCGCACTATCAACAATAGATAAATTTTCTGTGCCGTCCATATCATCAGTTAAGTCCAACAATCTGTGTTCATCCAAAGACAATAAGTTATCTTCAATGAATCGTGAAGGTTCAGATCAGCAGTCAAAAGAGAAGTGTATATCAGAGAAAGAAACAAATTCTGAAATTCCTATTAGTCGACTGGAGGAGTTAACAAGTTCAAATGGCGAAAATCCTGCCACGGAAGTTCCTGAGTCGTTTGCAGAGTTTTACTTTGGTGATTGCAATGATGATGATGATTATTTGCTGAGCCAGGTAGTTATATTTTCTTTACTTTTCACTTTTAAATCTCCAATAATAATCAAATACATTTTAGACCAAGATTTTTGCAAAGCATACTGAAAAAGAAAAGTTTATTGTATGAGTGGAAAATTCCGTGTCCTATATTGATCAAGCTCTTTGTTTTTTCCAAGCCAAATTTCGGTTTGTAGAATAGAACTTTCGATTCACGTTATGGAACCTCATTTTCAGTGCGCACACCTCATGATACTCTGATCATTAAAGAGGCTAAGACTCAAAATTATTGGCTATTTAATTGCTTCTGTTTCTCAAATTGAAAATAAAATACTTAGGCACCTATAATTTTTGAAATGAAATTTTTCTACAAAAATCCGTTTTCAATGACGTACTTACCTTAATTTCTCTAAAAATTTATTTGTGGAAGCAGGCTAAAGAAAATGGTGACTTTGGCAGTGTAACTAACCATCACCAGTGGTATTATGTGACCTAGGTAGTAGTCTAATGATAGAACATTTACATTGTGTCTTTTTTTTATGGGTTTTTATCTTTATGCCAAAAATTTTAGGCAGCGCCACTTTTTTCTTTTAAAAACTGGACAAATTTCAAAATTATAGTTGTTCTCAAATGAAGCCCATGTAACCTTGTCAGTTCAATTACTTGTGATCTGTCGCCAGCTTCAAATAGAAGTCACACCTCGTCTAATTGAACCAAATTGAGTCAGCTTAGCACAAATGGAGCTGAATGACCTAACATATCCGTTTAATATTTACTAATATTTCATAATGAAAGGAAAATGGGAAAGGGACATCCTTAGTGGTGTCCTGGAGGCACGCCGTTTGTACTAGCACATTGCTAAGTACAACAGGAATAAAAAGAAATGGGATATGAGAATAGCTAAAGAAACTGAAACTCCATGAGAAATAACATGAAAATACTCTTATTGACTAACTTAAATAAAAAGGGTCATGTTGCAAAAAATCATACAGCAAATTAGTTCTATACTGCGTATTTGATCATTCAGCGTATTTGGTACATGCTACTTATTACCACATGTAGCGAATCCCTTGCTGCGTAAGGCGCACAGCGTAAATAACTCTGAAGAATGTAAGAGGATGAGCTTCCTTACTTATTGTGATCTTTTCAGAGATGCTGAAGTGATTGATTTTGATGTGAGGACATCCAAGATGCTGTTAAAATCAAATCATGCACTTTATCAGCGATCTTAATTTGAAGCGGTGGACCGCGCGTTCTAACGGTCGCCGCACGGACGCTCATTATCTAATTTTAATTGACAATGCGGCTGCTCGCATTAACAATATCTGGTCCCTTTTCATTCAACAACACAGTTTATTAAAGCAAAGTTTAAGTTTTGTATTTAGGCAAAGAAATTCCACTAGTTCTTTTTTCTGTACTTTTGTTTCAGTTTTAATATATTTTTATTTTGCCTGCTTTAGGTCCAATGTGAATCTGATCAACTATCTAGAGGAAAGGAAAGTATTCCTCCTTCACAGGACAAACTGCCCTTCCCAGCTAGTCAAAGTCCCAACAAATATTCTACCAAGGCATCAACCTCCAGAGGTAGTCCCAAAAAATGCTCCAACAGTTCACAAAGCAATAGTCAAGCCTCAGATTTCTTCATTCTCATGCCAGACATGTTCGACGTAATTTTACTGGTTGATGAACAGGAATCGAAAAAGTAAGTTTTTCCCAGAAAAGAGTTATTTTTATCATTATTTTCCTCGAAACCTTCAAAATATATTTGTACTGCAATTAGGAAAAGGGACCTTTGTGGTGAATAACTCAAAAGTGAGAGGCTTCAGCCCAAAAATCTAAAATTAAACTGGAATTTAGACAATGGGTTAATTGCACTGATTACACAATTGCGTTTTAATGGATTTAAGCTTATAGAACAGCCAAAAGTAATAAGATCTGTCCTAAGTCCTAATTTCTACATCTGATTTTAACAGAGATATCACCCTCCATAAAACAGGGTGTTTAATGTCGTCCATCAACCCCACTTCCCTTATACTCAGAACTATGTAGAGTTCATGCCAAATAAGTTTACGCACTTTCAGACTGCGATAGAAGATTGTCTGACATCATTTTCTCATGGAAAGTAAATGCAAGAAGAAATTTGGCGGGTCTTCTGTCACAGCTCAAAAGAACCTAAACTGAGTTGGTGCAGACTCCAGTAATCTCATAAAGATAAACTCAGCTTCCTGAGAAAATAATTTTTTTAAACCTACATAAATTACTTAGTTCATTGCCAGATTTAATTCTTGACTTTGGTCTTTTGATGAGTTAAAAGTTCAAATTGACGAACTCAGGATGTGCGATTCGCTCACCTGTGAGTCAAATTTGTAAATTTTTAACGTGTTCTTGGCATTCTTTAAGAAATTCTGACAATTTGTGTAATGTGCTCACTTTCATATCTGGTGTAGTGGTTTAATGTAATGATTTAGAGGATATACGCTGTATCGGCCTTTTTTTTTAATCATTCTGTAACTTCAATTTTCAACTTAAATTTCTTGTAACATTTTCAGTCGCACAAAACCTTTTATACTTGAGTTGGATAACAGCGGAATTAAATATGAAGTTCGGCATTTGAAAGTTGGAGATTATATTTGGATTGCACGGTGCCGAACAACAAATGCAGAAGTAGTTTTGCCATACATTATTGAAAGGAAAAGAATGGATGATCTTGGCAGCAGTATTAAGGACGGCCGTTTCCATGAACAGAAAGTAAGTAAAAAATTTCACCTGACCTGGCTAATTCTCTGAAAGGAAATTGTGATGGCGGACAAATTTTATCTAGGATGTATTTCAGCATTGGTAGTTCTACTAATGTCTATGTTGAAATACAAATTTTGGGAATTTTATGTTTGTATGGAAAGAAACATATATTAAGAATAAAATGAAAGTTTGGATGCAAGAATAGAATGTTGGTGTGCAGTATTTTAAATTGTGTAAAGTTATCATCCTAGAGCATTTGATGTGCTGTCTACATTTGTTCTTCAAAATTTTTAAGCATCGTACAGGTAGGCTAAGAACAAACTCTCCTCAGAAAATTTTTCCAGCTCTTTTAAAGCTTAAAAAAATAGAAACATTAAGCTTATAAAAAGTACACAGTAGGTCATTGGGTAGTCAAATCATCACCTCAGAGGGAAAGATAGTTTTTGGCTAAGTTTTAGACAGATTTTAGAGTGACCTCTGGTTTCTCTGTGCCACGCAAGGATAGAGTGGAAAATTTGCTCCTTTAGCGCCTTCATTTGATATGGAAGAACTTGATTTTACCAGATTATTCGATGATGACTTTAATAAAAAAAAAAAAAAATTATTTTGGTAGATCTTGATCACTTTGCTCCCTTTTATTGTTTTTTTGAGCTTTTTCATAATTTTTGAATGCAATACCTACAAAGATGTCTAATGAACCATGTTTACAATTTATCTCTTTTAAATTCTTTCAGATCCGACTGAAACAAAGCGGCATTGAAAAACTTATTTATTTAGTTGAAATTTACGGTGGGAACTATGGCTTACCGGAGACGACCGTCCACCAAGCAGCAATTAACACGTATGTAGTGGATTGCTTTCAATTGAAGTACACTTCAGACTATCGACATTCTGCCTTGTACTTGGCAACCCTGACAAAGCTCATCAGTAAACAGTTCAAAGACAAAACGATTGCTAGCTGCGATAAAAATTCCCTCCCAAGTTTTGATCCCCAAAGTGATTTTGCTTCCTTGATGACTTTCAAAGATTTCTCCAAAGGTATGAGCAAGGTTCGCAATTACACAGTCAAAGAAATGTTCATTAAACACCTTTTACAGTTGTTCGGAATGTCAGTTGAGAAAGCTGTCGCCATAACAGACAGATTTCCCACACCCAAGAGTTTACTTTCGGCCTTCAAGGATGGCGGGCAAGAAAATATGCTAGCTTCAATTGTATTTGGAACACCAAAACGCACCATTGGGCCCACCTTGAGTAAAAATATTTATCAATTTTACACTTCCAAAAATTTTCCGTAATCTGTATTTTAATTGTAACTGCATCCACAAGTGTTTGGGAGTTTTTTCACTCTACCACATTTTACTAAATGACACTGTTAAAATAGAAAAAAAGTCCCAATAAATTTCCTGTCTTTTCGAGGAATTCCAAAATTCTGTGTTCATCAGCAGGAAGGAAAAAGTTCACAGCAAAATGATATATGACTGTCTAGTCCTCAGTAAGAGGGACCTCGAGCCCACAGAGACAAAATTTCCAGGAAAGAGATTTTTCTCTTGTCGGGTTAAAAAGCGGATCTTGCGTTTTCGATACAAAGTGCTCTTAGGAGTCGTAAGAAGTAAGCTACAAACAATTTAGTTTATTTTTATATCAATAAAAGGCAAAAAGTTGCATCTTTAGTACAATCTTGAGCTCCAACTATACCAGATTGGAATTTTAAACAATTTTTTTTTTTAATTTTTTTTATTTTAACTCATTTTAAAACATCATATGTAATACCTGTTTGGGTAAACTTTTTTTTTTCCCTTTTCGTTGGAAGATGTTTGCACAACACTCTTTTATGCTTTGGCTTTTATAACTACTGTTGTATTCTAATGGACTAATGTCCCTGCTCCTGTGGCTTGTCAGTGGTCACATACACTCAAAGATTATGGTGTTTTGCATCAAAAAATAAAAATCAGTAGATTTGTGGACAGCTGTACAATTTTCCTAAGTTTCAACAAACACATTCATGTAAATACTAAGTAAGGAAAATTTAGTCTATATATTTTGTATTAATAGAAACATTAATTTCCAATGTTTTTAATTGGCAAAAGCTGTGATTTTTCATGTATTTGTAATTCATTACTTAAGTATTTACTAAAAAAATGGTAAAGAAAGTAACAGTTACCGCTCAATGTTTTGTACTTCAATTTTATTCATTTTTTGATATTTTGGACTTGCGTCATGGCCTTCTCTTAAGTTATGTTATGCAAGTAGAGTAGTTGATATATTTTTATAATAAAACTTATTTTCTGTTATGTATGAACTTTGCTCTAAAATTATGATTGAATGTTCCATGTATTAAAAGGACAAATTTATTTTTTCAAGGATGTGCCTATTTTTCAATGCATAGAAGAAACGTTTAAATCAGAAGTGTTGCTTTGATCATATTTCACCGCAATTGTATTTTATCACCCTCATGCAGCTGAAAAATGACTGTGAGTATCCCTTGCCATTACCATTTAATGGACTACATTTTGTAATTAGGAACTACAATTTCTGGTTCAGTTCAGAAAGGACGTATGTACTATTAGTTTCCCTATGCACATAAGTGGTTTTACAAATTGGCTAGAAATTGTAGTTCCTAACTGCAAAATGAAGACCAAATGATCCCGCTCTAGACCTTTTAGTAGAGAGTGATTATGCAGGGCTTATGAAAACTTACCAAGCTCAAAACGTCTTGCTAGTTGTCAACTTCTCCATTTGGTCTTCTCCACTTTCTGTGAAGTATGATCAATGCAATACTTTCTAATTCGGAACTTTCTTTTTCAAGGTACACTTCAAAGCGCTGTCCAAAATATACACCCCAAGGTACATCAGCAGTGCAACTGCAGGAATTTGTATCTCGGTTTCAGTGTCTCAAAATCTCTGCTCTCATTTTATTTTATCAAAAGAAAAGAAATCAATGCCACTGCTTAAAATTTTTACAGAATTCTCTTCCAGCAGAAGAAAAAAATCATGAAAGCTTTCCAAGAATAACACTAAGTATTTTTCCATCCAAGAAATTAAGCACATGTGACATGAAGCCTGCAACGTCACGAATTGAGATACACATTTCTGCGGTCTCACTGCCAAGCACAGCCTTTGATAGTAATTATACCCTCAATTAATACTTTAGAACACTACAAAGTATTCCTTGTGTTGAACTTAAATTCCCGTGTCCCTGTCCCTCTTTAAAATTACTCTGAAGGAAAAATGTCATGAAGTAAGGAAGTCCAAAGAATTGATTGCCAAAGTATGTGCATTAGCCTTTCACTCGATAATATTTCAATTTTATTTTAGCATAATTTCGTTTATCCAAAGGCTTAAAGTGAAATTTTTTGAAATAGAACAACCTACACAAAATACTTATCTTTCACATATTGTGCTCAAGCCGTAGCCAGTGTAGATCAAGTGAATTTTTTTCTGGACATTTTTTTTAAAATTATTCGAAATTTCCTCTCAGTTTCTTTTCCTAAGGAATCTGATGACCTGACAAAGTTAATTTTGACTTTTTTGCATGCAATTTTTATTTCATTTGATGTGACCAAAGTAAAAAGTATTTTTTTAATGAGCCTTTGGAAGTGATCGACAGAACTAGGCAGATCCCAAAGATTTATTTGACGCCGTTCAGAAATTGTAAGGAATTTTGCGAAATAAGTGAATGATTACTCTGTCATCTGTAAAACTGTTTTCCAATCGATTTTTCGGAACGGCTAACAATTGCCCTGCGGACATCTCGAGTCTCGTAACTTTCTTAGGGAGACCTTCTAAAACCCCTGTTGGATCTGGGGAAATCCCTGCATATCTTCCTTGATGATGAGATGTGACCTGTGCTTCTGTGGATAAGATAGGTACTTTCCCTGTGCCGCCCCCCCCCTCCCCTCCCCTCAGAAATAGTTCTTTGCTCTACTGAATCATGTACAGAGGTACACGTATAAGGGATGCCATTTTGCCCAAAACTTGACTGAGGGGTAAAAGTTGCAGGGAGGAGGCAAAATCTGTAATTCTGAGGGGGAAGGGGGAGAAAGAAACTAAAAAAATTCCGGATAATTCCTTATATTAAATCTGAATAAAATTGTCCTCGCGAAAGATCAAGGCCTCTTTTAGGGTCGGAGGGGAGTGAACACACTCCCCCCCCCCTTATCCTGCCCTCCGAGGTGGCGCCCTTGCCTGCGTCTAGGAGATTTGCTCGGCATTTTTAGGGTTTGTTGGTGCCATTAGGCTGATACTGCAAATATTTGCGTCATTTCACAAAAAACATACTGCGGATTGTGTGTAATTAAAATTATTCTACAAAAATACTCTGCTGGATCTATCACGTTCGCGTACCGAAGTACGTAAATATGCGTTAGATGCGGCAACACTGAAATCTGCGCAAGCGCAGAGGGTTTGTAAACAACAACAGCTGACAGCAACAGGTCTCTTATCTCTCATCAGTCTGTCTCTGTCATCCACAAGCGCACAAGCCCGTCACGGTGGAATTACATAGTGGAAGATCACCGATCTCGAGGTCTTAAAATATTTTGGAATTCTTTCCAGGAATTAATATTCAGTTCAGAGTCCACCGAGATAGAACCGGCCGAAGTTGACTCTAGGAAGAGAGTGAAAATAATTCCCGAGGTGCGCTAGCGGCACTGTCGTGATGATTAGGCAAGTCTGACCTATTGATTACTTTCGATCAGTTATAAAAGCGATTCATTGACTTCGGCCCTTAGGACAATTCAATGCGACTTCCAGTTCTCATCGCTTCACTTATCTCGAACCTCGAATCCGCGTTCTTTCTGTGTTGGTTATCTCAGGGTTCCTAATTGTTATCTCTAGCCTTGTGAATGACGTTGATATTGTGCTTTTCTTACTTCTTCAATCGATCATAACATATTTACCATTGCGGATACAACATACTCAGTTATTTTGCTCGAGCATACGTTACTAAAGTGCATTTTCTATTTCGAGCAGGATCACACCATAGTTAAGGATGGGTTCAAGGGTGAAAGTCGTCGAATTGCTGCAGACAGTTGCAAATTCCTCGTAAGTTTTTTGTACTTTACGCACTTATCTTTATTTTGTTTGGTTCTCCTCAGATTCAAGATGAATTGAATACATTTGGTCATCAATTGGCTCAGGAACAGAGGTTTATTCGAGGGAGGGAGGGGGGAGCAAGAGAGTGGATTTCCCATTTACTGGATAATTTTCCCAAAAAACACGTTATTTACAGGACGACNTCGATAAGAAATTTTCGATCGGAAACCTTGTGATGAGCTCAGCTTTTCATTCCTCACTTTAATGGTGAAAACCAGTCAATTTTGACTGGATACTCTGTCAGTAAACTCGAGAAAGAAAATGAACAGGGAGGACATTGTCATTATTTTTCCATACCCAGTCAAATAACAAAGTTGTAATGCCTCTTCAATTTGCCTCTTGCTGTAGTCTTGAACATCACTAGAAACTTCAGTGCTCTTAAAAAAAAAGTAAATTTCCTTTGTTGGTGAGGAATACCTAGATAAATGGCTGCTTTCAATCTTTGGCCAAAGAAGTCTCTACGGATCATTATCTCTCGAGGCTTTCTCACCTCTCTTATATAAGAATGTAAAATCGAAAGATCTAATTCTCTTTTTTCTAATTTCAGATGCAAATGTCCAGCTCACTCACATCATGTTGCAGGCGTTGCAACCAGTCAAAAAATACGGAGAGATAATTCAACAGCTTGTGGTATTCCTGAGGACAAAGAATATGCTTTTGAAGTAAGTAATTTCATAGACCAATCAGGCTTTTCTTACAAATTTACCAGTGAATCGCAAGGAAAATCACAGTATTTACTGCAAATTGATGTTCATACTCACAGGCATGTAAATACGCCAGTTTGGTGGAATCAGAACATTACAGCCAATAAAGATCCAGTCTACGTTATGGCTGTAGCATTCTGAAGTTGATAAATAGAGAGGCATAAGTTTCTGATTCTGGGAGAGCACTGGTGAGACTAGTTTTTAACTCATTGATCATCCTCAACCCTATTTATCTCTCTCCAAATCATAAATCAAAGTGTCTGCTAGGCTATCAACCTGCCACAAGCCTCCCCTCTCCGAAACGCAGCTCAGAATTTGTAGTAAGTAATATATATCTTAAAAGTTATTCATAAAAATTTCCAAAAAATCCAATGGGGGGGAGGACAATAGATGTAAAGAGAATCATTGTGTCTGAGCTAATAAAGATATAACTTGGACTGATTTTAATTCTAATTTTCAGATTGCCAATTCATCGATCAGATATGGGATAGGAGTAACGAAAGAGGTTGGCCAAGATTTTGCCAACATGGGTGCCAAAAGAGTGTGCGTTATGACTGATCCCTTCCTCAAAAATTTGCCAGCTGTGAAAACAACCTTAGACTCTCTCACAAAAGCTGGAGTCCAGTTTGAACTCTATGACAAAGTAAGGGTGGAACCCACAGAAAAAAGGTAAGCACTTCCTTACAAATAATTAACTCCAGAGTCCAGATGAGTCCATTCTAAGAATTTTTAGATGTCTCTTGATTTTGGTTTGCATTTGATATCGTTTTGTTACTCACTGATAATTTTATGATCGATTTTAAGTTTCTTTGTTTTGTCACTTAGGTACTAAAAAATCTCATGGTCGATTTTAAGTTTCTTGAATCTTAAAGGAATTTCCCCTTAAAGCATTGATACATTGACTACAAAATTTTTTTTCTTTGTTCTGCTAAAATTGTATGCAGGGAGAGAAAACTAAAATTCCAGATCAACAATGAAAAATGATGATGTTCTTGTGATACTATAGTTGTATTTTGTATTGCGCAACAATGGCACTAGTCATACAACAGTAAGTCACAATCCCTCTTTATTTTGTGTTACTCAATGCTGATTGGGCAATAGTGGCAATGATGGCTATGCTGGTGTTAAAATTATCATTCAGAGTTGTTAAATTTGTTAGTTCAGAGGGTAGGATGTAAATTGCACAAGAAGAAAAACTTGTGATCAGTAAAATGTATAAGGAATCTTCTTTGCCTTATAATAGTAAGTACTTCATTCTCACCATCTGTTTTCTTCTGATTTGAATTCGTTTAGTTTTGAAGATGCGACAAAGTTTGTACGAGCGATGCAATTTGATGCTTTCTGTGCTGTGGGTGGCGGATCTGTTATTGACACTTGCAAAGCAGCGAATTTGTACCATTCTGATCCTGAAGCTGAATTCTTAGATTACGTTAATCCACCAATAGGCAAAGGAAAACCAGTAACCAAACCTTTGAAGCCTTTAATTGCAAGTGAGTTCCTTTTCTGTACAGGAAAAAATGAATTTCAGCTAATCCCTAAGTGAGGTCCCAAAAGAAAGTGATAAGTACCACTTGTTATCTATTTTCCAATATTTCTCATAAAAATTTTACCCAAGCTCTTGTACCGAGCTCTTAAAACTTTTGAGAAAAATTAGAATTTCCTCTTTCAGCTTTATCATGCAGGTAAATGAATATCATAAAAAATCGATAACATATGCAAAGTAGGAAACCTTTTTTGGATTTTTCCACATTCCTCTAAAAACTGAAATTTTTGATGTTAAAAAAAAAATAAAAATAATCTCTTCTGCACTCCATTAAAGATAAGTACTTCTCTAAAAAATTTCAAAGTTGATGGTTAAGCTCACTTTGAAAAAAAAAAAACCTAAGAGAAGAAATCGGAGCACTACTATTGAAACCATGCATGTTTATAGAAGCACACATAGTAACATGAAGATCTACCATCGAAATGTACCATCATTCATCAAGATGTGTCCTTTTTCTTTTCCAGTTCCTACAACCTCAGGAACAGGCAGTGAAACGACGGGTGTTAGTATTTTTGATTATGAGCCATTGAAAGCCAAAACAGGAATCGCTAATCGTGTTTTGAGGCCAACACTTGGAATCATAGACCCTCTCCACTGTTTAACATTACCAGAAAGAGTTTGTGCTTTCAGTGGGTAAGTCGGGTCAATTTTTTTCTAAAAAACTTCAGTTCATGATTTAAACACCACTCAGATTTATGCTGATCCACTCAATTTTTTTTTTAAAAAAAAATCCTAAAACACATGTCCCTTTTTAGTAGGTCATACAGTGCCATGCAAGTATTAAATTTCATCATGAAATAGTTAAAATAATTGCTCGCATGAGTATAGCAAAGCAACAGCCTGTTTTTTCTTTTAGCTTATGAAAAGAATTCTGGCAAGTCATCCTGTTAGAACATGAAATGGTGAAGATATAGGGATACAATTTAGTTTGGACGTTCACAAAATGCTAGTTTGTCACCTCATCATCATTTCAATAAAGAAGAATGGTTGTCGAGTACTTCTAAGGTTAGAGATAGAGAAGCTGATGTTTGAGCCTTTGGCGATTGTAGTTGTTGCTAAAGGAAAAAACTCATGTGAGAAAAATTTTCCCTCATAGAGTTACACTGTTAGGAGCAATACTTGTTACAGTCAATCATGAAGACTGGACCTTGTATCAGTATTTGACAGTCTCTTGACTTCTGCATTCTAAGCTTGAAAACGTTCTTAATACGAAACGGCCGTTTCTGGCAAGCGGCTGGAGCAGTAAACACTTACTGCCACCTAGGGAGTGCTTTACCAAGTATCATCAATATTGTTATTGCTGTTTGTTGATAAACTTGAATGGTTCTACTTTTTTGTTTTCACAGATTTGATGTTTTTTGTCATGCCCTCGAGTCCTTCACAGCATTGCCCTACACAGAAAGAACCCCGCGTCCCACTGACCCTATTTTACGGCCGGCATATCAAGGAAGCAATCCCATCTCCGATATTTGGGCCAAATTTGCTATAAATGTCATCAAAAATCATTTTAAAGAGTGAGTCAACACCTTGTCTTCTTTTTTAATCTCCTACATCTAATTGACACCACAGATGAGAAAACCCTTTTTCTTCCAATTTGTTGCTCCTTTGATGTATGGGCAATACCTTGATATCCTCATTAGTCCCAGAAAGCATAGATTTATATGCAAAACATGGCTCCTCCTGGAAAGTGAGATACACTCTTGTGAGGGGGTAAAATTTACGAGAGGTCGAATTTAAGTTAAATAATTGTAAAAAAAAAAAACTAAAAAAATAATACACCAATCTTTTAACACTTTTTTTACGTAAATACTTTAAAAAATCACGTTTTTCAAAGAGCTTTTTAACACTTTTTACTCAATTTAATGTAAAAAGATCTCAATAAGGGTTTCCTTCTTTGTAAATTTTAACAGTTTTTTAAATCCAAATTTTAACAGGCGTTGCCAGTAGGGTTTTAATCGCCCTGATGCGTTTGACGTCACATTAAGAAGAAAAAGAATTGTACAAAAATTCTATTTTCAAATTGTGCGTTCTTATCAAATATTCTCCTCCTTTGTATTGCAGAGCTGTGTACCATCCAGATAATCTCAAGTCTCGTGCAAATATGCACCTCGCATCAGCAATGGCAGGTGTTGGTTTTGGAAACGCTGGGGTTCATCTTTGTCATGCTCTATCTTATCCAATTTCTGGCAATGTCAGAACGTTTCGACCTGATGGCTACAGGTAATAATGAAACACGTTTGCATAGAGGTAGCTCATCGCGGTCTCATGATGAAAGTGCCTTGGTGCTTTGTGAAGGCACAAATACTCTAGATTTTCTCTCTGCCTGCGAGCTGATTGTTGAAATTGGTAGACAAAACTAAAGACAAAGAAGACAAAAAGGATATGGAGGGATCCTATCAGTGGAAGCCGGGTGATTGCAATGGACAAAGGAGCCAGGTAGGTAACAGAATATCTAACGGCAGCCCACAAGAGACCCTATAGTTTGTCCATGATTTTCCTCTTAGTCTATAGAAACCACTTATCTCAACCAACAGGTAACATCGCTCCACACTCCCTATGTCCTCTTTGGCTATCGCTTTGTCTACCAATTTCAACAATCATCCCAACGATTTTCAAGTCCTTGACAGTGCATAATAGGAACTGAATCTAACAGAAAAGAACCATGTCTTATTTTGGATAAAAATGAGTCAGGTGTAGGTAATTCGAGCTTGATAAAACACATATAATACGTCTCTCTATACTCTGATAATAAGTCTCATTCTTAAGTCTGTAGATTTACTGTACATTCTAGTATGGTTCTTATTAGATTAAAGTATCCTGTAACGCAGTAGGTTAAGTTTCATTAATTATTTACTTTTTGTTCCCTTGTTTTCATGTATTCATTAAATAATTCTCTTTCATTTTTGCAGTGATGATCATGCCATCATCCCTCATGGATTGTCTGTGGTTATGTCTGCTCCTGCCGTTTTTGAATTCACTGCCCCCGCTTGCCCTGAGAGACATTTAGAGGCAGCTGAACTTTTGGGAACCGATATTAGCAATAAAAAACGAGCAGATGCTGGTATGTTCCTTTCAATAGATTAAATTTTTTTATCGATAATTATGATGAGGAACCATTCCTTTCCTCTTTTTAGTTTTCTGTGTCAGTGCTAAATAACACAAGCTCAACATGCATCTTTTCCCCCAAAAATCCCTGATTATGTGACACATGACTCTTGCGTATTCTTTTGCTTTGATCGATGCACTGCAAATGATGGTCACTTTTCTCCATCACCCTTTAATTTTCTAGATAATTGAGATTTTCCTCTAAAACAGGCTGTACCGGGCTGAATTTGGTTTATTGAAAAACTGATACATGTTTAAAAAGAACTAAGATCACTTTTGAATTAAATGGCCATAAATAGACAGGCTACCTTGCATCAAATGCCTGACAAACTTTCCCCGTTGCTCTTGAAAGCAAGTTTTTCTGTTAGATACCATAATCCGGCCATCTACCACCAAGTAAAACTGATTCAATTGTCTCACGTCGAAATAGAAGTAAAAATTTGTTCCCCAGTTGTGTGATCTGATGATTTCTACAGATTCTTTACTGCTAAAGATAAAAATGACCATAATTTTGTCCCATAATTTACCAATTCACCATAAAATCTAATTCTCCTAAGACACTTTTTCTGCCACTTGAAGGAAGCATTTTTTGGAAAATTAAGTTTTGATTATCTTCACTGGAAAGCAGTCCAAACAGTTTTCATCGCTTGTGAGCATTATGACCATAGCACGCCTTGTTATTCTCTTCATTTGTCATTCAATAGGAAACTAATCTTGACTCATATTTCACTTTGTTCAGTCTCCCTTCAGTGTGAACGCCAAAATCCCTAGTGCTGTGCAATTCCAGTACAAAGACTTGGAGGCTTTAGTGCTTATGTAGATCATAAATTAATTGATTTTTTACCCCCATTCACAGTTAGGTGTAAATTAGACTAGTTCCTAAGTTTCTGTAAACCTATTAATCTGATTTATTTTGTATCCATTTGAATATTCACCTTGTCCATACACTTACTTTTATATTTGATTGAACAAAATTTATGATTGCAGGGAAAGTGCTAGCTGATACCGTCAGAGAATATATGAGTTTCATGAAAATTGATAATGGTTTAAGTGCTCTGGGTTTCATGAAGGATGATATTACTAATCTAGTTAAAGGAACCCTACCACAGGTAAAGATTTGGTTAAAATTTTATTATTATTTTTTTTTAAAAAAAATTGCTGTCATGAAATTTTAGTTGCTTCCTTGTGACCGCTTCTTATGTCAACTCATGACTTAGGAATATGATTGAATTGGGGAAGGTCAAATTTTTAAGTAAGGTGGGAAAACCCTGTGAGGTCAAAAACGTTAATTTGTTGTTGTTGGCGGAGGTTTTACGGACTAAATTTTCGAGGTCAAAATCAAAAGTTCTCTGTTAGGATTGAAACCAAGCTGGTCTATTCTGTCGTGCTAAGGAAAAACGCTATATGAACATTCGAGAGTGGCAAAATTGCCTCCAATAAAATGTTTATTTTTGAGAAAAGTTATCAATATTTTTCCTTGAAATTTTTAGACTATTCAGATCAAATTACAAAGGAAATTTCCTTAAAAACCGAAAATAAAGTATTCATAAGTATTCCCAAAAATTAGAGATTTATCAAAGAAAATTTAGTAACGCCTGAAGGTTTATACAGCGTTTTCCCTTAGCACTGCAGCATTTGGATAAGACCCACTGAGTCCGATTTTTGGGTCGAAAAAGCTTTACAAGTCTTCTAAAATGCGCAATTGGCGCAAAATGTGAATTTGGTGAATTTGCATTGGTTCTTGATGTAGGATCCTTTGAGTAAGTTAGGATAAATTTTTGGACATTAATATACATTGATGTGTTTTTGATTTACAGCATCGAATCACTAAACTTGCCCCGAGGCCTCAAGCCGAGGAAGAACTGGCTGAACTTTTTGAAAACTCCATGACTATCTACTAAGATCTAATGAGGAGCTGCCAGGTCGTAAGTGACTGCTTCAACCAGTACCTGCCCATTTTAAATCTATTTTTATACTGTTTTTAAAGAATATATTTTAATATTACCGGTTACGTTTTTATAGATTCATATTTTGAAAATTTAAAATTCAAGACTGAATTGTTCTGTTCCTACGGTAAAAATAAATTAATGATTAAATTGATTGAATGTAATGAACATAATAGTGTGTGTATTTTGTGAAGCTCTTTTCCATCAACCTTCCAAAGTTGTGTGGAAATCATGGCCTTCCTCGAGAGAAGTGCGTCTGAGGTTTCCAGTGATGCCAAGATTGTGCAGCATAATTCTTTAATCACAAGTAACGTATTCAAAAGCTCTGCCATGAATATTTTCCTGAATATGCTCTGCATTTTTCCTCACTATTGTGAGGAAGTAAGTCAACTGTGAATAAATTTCATTTGCTGTAAATGCTATGATAAATCGCACAATCTTAGCAGCATTACAAATCTCACTCAGCCTGGTACCTCCTCAATTTTCTTGCATGAGCATCAAGAATTTATTTTATTTTGATAAATGAATCGCTGGGAGGGCATTTCTTGGTTTCGGTGTCTAAGAATCTCCACGAACATTTTATGCAGTATGTTCAAAGCAAATGTTTGTAATTCGTTGTAACTTTTTCTGAATATACTTTATAATTCTACAATGCTGAAAACATACAATTTTGGGAAGCTCAGCCAATATATTTCTCTCTGAAATATAAAGCAGCATTGAAGATTCTGAAACACCGCAACTGAGAAATGTGCTTTCTGCACTTGACTCCTCAAATATGGTCATCATTTTCCTTAATATGGGCAAGGAGCCAGGAAATAAAACAGAATTCAATTTTCAATTCCTTTATTTGAATTATGTAATGAAATAGTTTTAAAAAATACATCATTACAGAATTATTCTTAGAAAAGAGAAAAAAAAAGAAAAGAGAAATAATAAATTATAATAATATTTTAGGATGAAGGAAGGAAAACTCTTCAGGTTATTTACCAGTAGTTACAATATATCATACTGGACGAACAAATCCTCAGCAACATGTATTGAACTTCAGATGTCAATACTAGGAGCATGCTGCACGGGCTCGAGTTTTACATTAGTTCCATATTAACTGTACACTTGTTCAGCCCTTAATATTAGGGGGTAAAAATAACTTTCATCAAGGTATACATTGATATAGATTTTTCATATTCAGGTTATGGTAGTAGAGACACCATTATTAATTTCTAAAAAAATCTCTTCTAAAAAGGATTTTCCTCGACTGTTGCCTGATGGAAAGAGATACAATTCTACAATACTGAAATTTTCTATCAATTGGTGGACTAATGATAGGTAATCGTCATATTTCAGTGTTCTATTGGTTTTTTATTTTGAGGATCTTTGGTAGCAGCTAGTGTGATAGTGGCAGCTCATTGTGTGATTTACAGTGTTTGCCGACGATCAGTTGAGAAGCAAATATGGGTTCAAATATTTGATAATACTTGAGCCTTTGTGTACTTTTTCTACGTTGTATTTGACAAAGCAAAATGTTGATTCTGAAGCTTGTTTTCTTTACATTTTTAGTGATTGATAATGGTGTATTGTGTCACCTCTAGTCAATTTTGTAAAATCTAGCCCTTAGTGATTATCAATAAGTTTTGACGCACATATATTTATAAAAAGTGCAGCTGGTGTGAACGATGAGTGAAATGACACAAATATCTTGATTAAAATCAACTGTGCTTAAAGGAAGAGCAAGTATATTTCTGACAGATGGTAGAGGTTGAATGCCACATTTCAATACCATTTTTTCCTCCAATACATATGTTTTTCTTTCTTAAAATTAAGCCTCGAAAAGTGGTTTATTATGAAATTCAACGAAAGTTTTTAACGATAAAAACCAACATTTATAAAGAGAGAAAATGTAGAAAAATAAAATTTTCATTGAAGACACAATCCTTAATATATTGAAGGCATTTATTGCATTGAAGTGCTTACTTCTCTTCTACTCAACAAGGTAAAATAAATTTTGATTATTTACAATGTAGGTCAGAGAGTTTTGCCCAATGATATAAAATGAATGGAGAAGTTACAGTGCAACTGATTGATTGCTTTTACGAGATAAATAATTTTTTTTTGTACATCAGGAACAAAAGGAGTTGAAAGTAAACTATAAGTAAAAAGAAACTGCACAATTTTTTCGAGAAACGGGTTTGAATACTTACACAAACCTACAGGGATGATGCAATGCTTGATCATTTCCTTCCTCTAACTGGATAAAAATTAAAAATAAATTAAAGTTTTAAAAAATATAAAATTAAAATAAAAAAGTATAAAAATTTCAGTTCAATATTAGGAGTTCATAGATAGGTGCCCTAAATAATTAAGAGTAACACAAAAGAATGAGATAATTAATGATTTTAGAAAAATAATGAACGATGAACTAAGATATTCGCATCCGTGAAACTGTCTGGAAGGGAGGGGCATCTGCTTGTAGGGGTACACAAACTGAAATCAATCATTTGAGAAATCGAGAGAGGGAAAGAGAGGAATCACCAAAGTCCAGAGGAGAATCCACCCGGTGGTACGCGTTGACGGGGTTTCAGGTCTGATGCGGGGGCTGATGTTGTGGTTCTGGTTTCTTTAACTTGCGTGGGTTCATAGCCATCTCCGGTCACTGGGTTACCATCTATAAATGAAAAAAAATTTCCGTCATTACTGGAATTGTTCTAGACACCGCAATAACATCGCGACGTTTATCGAAGGATAAAATATGTTTTCCCATGATTTCGGAACATCTTCTCTTTCCTCTCTTTTCCTTTGGTATTGCTATGCTTTTCTCCCTTTTACACTGCATCAACACATTTCAGTCACCTTTTCCAAGTTGCTGTTAAGAGACTTCATGAAATAAAAGATTTAGAGAGGAAAACTGCAGAATGGGAGGCTTTCTAATACTTTTATTCTCAATTTGAAAACGAAGTGATATGGACAAGCGTTAACATACAAACTTGTGCTAGAGGAAACTGGATACTGATGAATTAAAGCAAGAGGAATTATGAACATACGAATCCCAGGTACATAGTTCCTTTTAAGATAAATACGTCCAAATTATGTAACCGGTTGTAACAGAAGCATTGGACTTGCCTCTTATTTTGGGCACTTCAGAAGATAAGTAACTTCCGAAGGAAATAGCAATATCAGGTAGGCAGCATTTGTGCAAAATAATCAATTCCTATACCTACTGCCACAAGACACATAATCACTTCGGCCATAAATAAGTTAATATTATGCTTGGAAACTATAGAGGGCTACCTATGTGTCTCATAAAGCATTTAAAGTAAAATCTTAAGTCAGAGACATGATAAAAGAGGAAGAGGACAAACATTGAAAGAGGAGTATGATCAAGTAGGTAAATATCTATTTGGGAGGGAAAAAGAAAAGGTGGACCACAGAAATAAAAAAGATCTACTTAAATTTATTCGGAAAATGAGCCATTAAGAGAAAATTTTAAAGAGCTAGCTTCATGCAAAGCTACCTTACTTATAGATAGAAAAGAGCTACGTGATGAATAAACCTTGACATTATAATGAAAAAAATATTGATACATCTTTCATAATAGATGACATAAAAAAAGCAATGAAGAAGACATGTAGAAACTCAACTAGGTACCTAATTTCTGAAGTGAGACAACTGAAAAATGGACAAATTAATGAAATGAATCGCACTACATGAAAGCTCAAAACAACAGTCGAATAAGAGGGAAGAAATTGGACGATAAGAGGGTTGATATCACGAAAAAAGGTGAAGATAAAAGATGAGGATGATCCGGCCAAGAAACACAAAAATTCAGGCAAACTTACCTAAACTTCAAGAACCAATATACTAAGCGTATGCCTTTACATAGCACATAAAATGGAAATATACGAAGAAAAGAAGGAATTAAAAAAACAAGGGTGGGGGGTGTTGAGAGACATGAGAATTGTGATAAAACCTTAACTGTGTGTTCTCCGATACTTTCATGATAACCCTGGTGAAAATTGGCGATAGGAGCTGCGTTTCAAAATACCATAGGAGTTCTTATAGCCGACTGAGGAAGGCGATAGAAAATCATATAGCTGGCTGTAGAAAGTGGAAAAAAGTATACGGCCGGGCTACACAAAGCTATGAAAAATTATACAGCCGGGCCTATCGCCTGGCTGTTGCTTTTTCGCTATCGGCTATAAAAGGCTATAAGAAATTGTGTAGAAATTCGTGTGCTGTGTAAATCCTTAAGTTTGTACGGAATCACCTTAATATTTACAAAACGCGCATTATATTTTCCTTCACTACATATTTTTTTCATCAATTAAAATGAGAATAATCCATACAGAGTGTGCCAACATTTCAAAGTCATGAGTTGAAAAACGCTGACTCCACGAGATTAAACATTAGAGCTTATCACAAAGTGGAGCGGCGGCGCACTGGCGCCTACAAACCTAACAGGGATACTTCACGCATTGCGCAATGCGTGAAGAATCCCTGTTAGGTTTGAAGGCGTCAATGCGCGTTTCGCGCTGGCTGCCCGCCCGCCTCGCCGCGCCGCAGCGTACTACGGCGCTTGAAGCAACTATTTCACACCAAAGGTATTGCACAGTATCATACGAAATTGCAGGCGCTCCAACATGTTAGGAATGGCAGGAATCTTTCAAAAGTACGGAGCTTTCGTCGCAAAATAAATCACGATACTACGGCCCAAAAAGAGAGCGGTAGTCCAAAAACTCACTAAGTCCTAGCATCCGTAATTAGTAACGTTTAGCATCCAGGCTGTTGCTTAGTCGCCATCGGCTATAAAAGGCCATAAGAAATTGTGTTGCCGGCTATAGAAGCTATTGGAAATTTTACAGCCGGCTGTAAGTCTATGGTATTTTGGAACACAGATTCTACTGCCAATTTTTACCAGGGAAGTCAGCGAAATCAAATGATAAAAATAATTCATATTGATAAGTCAAATGTTCAAAATGAAAATGCATCTCCTCATATAAAATATATGATTTTCCTAGCTTCCTGCGTACTTTTGTAACTTAACATTAAATATTCATAATGTAATTGAGTAATTAAAAATTGATTTTTTTCGGTGTTCGGTTGAGTATTCTTAGACAAAAAAAATCTGAAGAGTCAAAGCACTGATGGACTGGTATCCCAGGCTATTTGTTCAGTTCCAGTCCACCCCTATCTGGATTTGATCTGGCTAAAATTAAAAAAATCCGAGGGGAATTTTTGTTGGTGGTTTGAAAAAACTACTTCTCGAACTAAATTTTGGGGGAGTTATCCTCTCATCAAACCCGATTGGTTTTTAAGAGCGAGAGATTTGATAACTGAGAACTAATCTAACAGAAACGGACATTTAAACAGCAAACAATGAATGGGATTTCGCTTTGTGGATACCATATATTTTGTTACGTTTTTCCATAAAGTAAGAGGGTATCTTTCATAGGCTTGACACAGAACGCATGCTAACATGCACAGGTGGTTAGTTTGAGCCTCAACTCCGAATTTTGGCATGCATGATACAGCAATGAAGTGTACAAAGTTTTCCTGAGGCAGTTGCTGTTGTGGATTAAATGGTATACATAGGTAAGTATCAATTTGTACTCACAATACATACGGAAGGCTGAGACAGCAAAAAAAGGAAAAGAAAGTCCATGAGCAATAAAGAAAGATGCAGCAAAACTGGTATTTTTCGTGTATACAGCTGTTTGAATGAAGGAAATTCATTGAATTGGAGGCAAAAAAAGCTACCAGTACACGAATGTTTATTGAAGAAGGGAGTAAATATTAAACGGAATGGTAAGTAAGTAGGAATCAGTAAAATTAGCTACGACTTTTAAACAATTGACTACTTTGAGAGTGAATTAAAGTACCTTTATCAATGGAGACACGGGAAAGTGAAATTAAGAAACACCTAACTTTTATGTAGGTAAGAAGAATTTGAGCTTTGAAAGTAGTAACTAATCATCAGTCTGAGAGAGAGAGAAATATTCACAATTTCTCTCTCCTTCTACTCCTCACTTTGTCTCTCCCCACACGCAAAAGGATCATTTTAAAAAAAGGGATGTATTATAAATTTCAAAGGACAAACTACAATTGTTGATGAGCTTGCAGAACAGCTGAAAAAAAATCGATCAGTGAGATAAACTAAAATCTATGAGTCGAATTTGAGAATCTCTCTTGAAATTGATATAGACATTGATTCCCCTGGGAAATTGTATCAACAATTTTCATTTCGTTACTTTTTTATGAGTATTAAATGAGAGAATATGTAAATGATTTTTTTTTTTTTTAATGAAATCATTGAGAACAATTCTACCTACTGGTGAAAACGACCGATCACATAAACCTCACCTTTTCTTCGTGGGGTCCTCCTATAATCATGCCACAGAAAACCAGCTCCTGTAACTGGATTTCTGGAGGCTGTGAATCTAGACCTTGCAGAGTTGGAGAGATAAAATGGAAAATCTTGAAGCCCCATCAACCACACAAATAAAGCAAGCAGCAAGAAAAGAAAAATAGAGAGGAAAATGAAAGTACGATTTAACAACCAAATGCGCAAAAGAACGCGAAGCAGACCGAAAAAGCTTATGTTGAAAGTCTTTAGACAGTTTAGCCCGGAGTGACTATCATAGTTCTGGGTCTAAGTCAATCAACATTGAAAAAGTTTCGAAGGGAAAACAAGACAAAAAAGTCCAAAACCGATAGCGAGAAGAGAGACAATGGAAAGAAGAGGAAATTACCAGTGCTTAAATACTAGGATAACTAGAGTATCAACTTTTCCTACTGCTTGAGCTGATTTTCGAGCTCAAAAGTTCCTCCCCCATAAAAAGTACTGATTTTGACTTATCACTTAGGAACTACAATGTCTGGCTCAGTTTAGAAACAACGTATGTACTATTAGTTTCCCTATGCACATAAGTGTTTTGACGGATGAGGCAGAAATTGTAGTCCTAATGGACCACTAGACAAGGTACGAATTTAAGCAATCTGATACATGTTTCTTAACCAGAATTTCACGTAGAACACGATTCACACTATGAAAATTACCGAAATCAACTTCTAACGAAGATATTAACGTTTTTATTTCGCACTGATTATGAGGAATTTGAACTGCCCGCTCACAAGAAACTCAAAGCTCTACGTGAGTCAAATCGCGCACTACAACGGTTTCAGCAAGCTTCTCAATCGAGCAATGTTCATTTTCCACATGTGTTGTTCAAACTATTGGTAATTTGCTATAGCTGAGCCAAAGCGTCAAGATTGAGGTTGCCAGATTTTTATATCGCAGAGACTGTCATGATAACGTTTAGCGCGCGATGTGAATCACGCCGAGCATTGAGTTGTCATGAGCGGGTGGTTTGAATTCACGCATCAGGAATCATTAAATATCTTCGTCAGGAGTTGATTTTGGTAATTTTCGTTGTGCGTATCGTGTTCTACGTAAAATTTTTATTGAGAAACATGTATCAGAATGCTGAAATTCGTACCTTGTCCAGTGGTCCATTGCGAAAGAAAGTCCAAATAATGATATTTTATGCGGGAGGGTGGTGGCGGGTTACCCGCTGAAATAAATTGCTCAGAAGATGCATTGCATGTTGCCCACCCTATCGATTGAGGGCGCGAGCTTCATGACGTTAGTCTCAGCAAGTTTAGACTAAATCGCAATGAAATTGCAGTTTTCTTATTTGACAGATGATTCATTAAAAACAAAAAAACTTGCGTAAGATACGTTTCGTAACACTTTAGGGTCAGTGTGAAAGTTTCGTGGAACGGACAAAATTCTACCAGAAAAAACGGTAAAATTCCAACAAATTTTCAAAACCTACTATATAAAATAACTGAAATAATTGTACAGAAAAATATAAGGATTTTAAGACTGCGAATGGGCACAGAGGATGCATTTCTTCGTGTATTCCACCCTAGGTGATCCTGAGTACCCTCTGTTGACACAATTTTGTTAATTAAAGTTATTTGATTAGATTTCATGACAGCATGCACATTTTTATTCCATCGTTTTTCAAAGGCTTACGGTCAACACGTTCCCAGAGCATGTGACCCTCAAAAGTTTACTCTTGGTTAGATTGGGCGAGGGGCGTAGAGAAAGAGAGACTCTTCTTCGGCCTTCGGCGATGGGTAAAAATTTCTGATTTTGAGCCCTTACCCAATCCTCATAAAGCTTTAAAATTATTCCATACTCCTCAGGGCGAGGAGTTCCCTTAGATTTCAAGATTTCTAGAATTTTTCTTGATTTTTGTCCGACTTTTCAAGGCGTTTTGAAAGTGCTTTCCACGAGAAATTTTTAATGCGAAGTCCAAGACAATTAAAGAAGAAAAAAAAAAATTAATTTCTGAGATTGGAGCCAGAGGCTGCTCCTCACAGCTTTTCGCATAATGCACAGACAAGGGCAACTGCACGGGGTAAATTCCCTCATTTCCCCTTGCTTTCAAAATAACGTTTATCAATACTTGTCGTTAAATTATTGATTCTCTTACGTCACTCAGTGCAGAAGCTTTGCATCGACTCAACTCTTTAACTCTTATTCTTCAACTCTTAACTCTTTAACTCCTGACTCTTTAACTCTTTCCTCTGGATACCAACAGCAACAGCTAAAATGAGGATCAAAGTAACTATGAGCGCTGGTTCCGGAGCTTCAAGATATTACCAAAATAACAAATTTCCACCATCGCCGCTCCATGGTAGACCACTTGACAATGAAGAAAATTTAGCATCATGATGCATATTTCTTTATCAATTTTACTTCTGCAGAACTTGATGGATACATAAGGAAAGGAAGGGTTTCAAAAAGGACCGCCTTTGAGCCCACCTTAACTGAATTTCCTCAATGCAACGATTTTTGCTCATTGAGGGTCCATGTTTTACGAAGTGCAACATGCTATGGTCATTTTCGGTTTCTTTTCGAGTCTAATACTGGCCTACACATGATTTTGAAGGCCGATTTTCGTAAAAAAAAAAAAAAAAAAAAAAAAAAAAAAAAAAATGCGAGCTTGCAATCGAATACCGAAAAATTAGAATTTTTTTGCCAAAATCGTCCCTCAGACTCATGTTTAGGCCAGTATTAGATCCGTAAAGAGACCGAAAATGACCAAATCATGATGCATTCCAGAAAAAATTGACCTTCAATTAGCAAACAATCGATGAGATGAGGAAATTCAGCTGAGGTGGGCCAAAAAAAAGCCCTCATCGATACACCACACCTCCTTCCTTTAATTTGTGGGTGAGAAATCAGCGTTTTCAAAATCCCGATACCTATTTAAATTAAACCCGTTGATTTCAGTCTTTTTCACTGAGCAAATTGTATTCTAAGTGAAATGAGGAGGAAACATACATCAGAATGCTTCAATTGAAACCTTGTCTGATGGTCCATTATCAACGTGTCTTGTGGTCTTGCTCCGTTCCAGCGGGCTGATTATTGAACTTGATATACAAAGTGATTGACGAAGAAGACAAATAGATAATGGATCGATCTTGTTGGTTGAAACGGGTGATAGTTAAGTAAAGACTAAAGGAGAATATGATAGACTAACGATCATAGGCGAGTCCAGACACTTCGAACGGAGGGGGCGGAAGGGGGGTCCGGGGGGCTTTCCCCAGAAAATTTTCGAAATTTTAAAGCATCTAAAGGGCAATTTGAGTCATTTTCGTCATGAATAATTACCAAAAGTAAGCGTCCTTGTTTCTTCTTTCCTCCGTCCCTGCTTTCTTTTTTCTTCCTCCTTTTTTGGGAGCGAACGGGGAAAGGGGTGTGCGCCCCCTATGCGCCCCCCCCCCCCC